TTGGGTACATTCCCTTGAATTGATATAACTAATTAATCTAGCTAGCGTATATAAAATATAAAAATTGAAGTTTGCAGTAAACAATGTTACGATGACAAGTTGTCTGGGACTTTAATCCTTCTAATAATTCACTAGGGCACAAATATATATACATGATATCGTTCAATATCATCCATATTGGTTCCTAGTCGTTACAGTTAACTCTCTAGTAATCTGTCGTGATACCTTGCAACCCAGCAATTACCCAATGAGAATCAAAGCACTACCACAGTATTGAAATTTAATTCAAGATCGTAAGATAAAAAACGGTTACAAAGAAAATATTGGTTCAAACTTGATCTATAAAAGAATTGTCAAAGTTATTGTAAACTCTACTATACCACCCAGAATATACTCGACCGAATACAAGAAACTGTCTCCGAAACGTTTAATCGAAGAGAAGTTTTGTTGCATTATCTCATCGAAATTGTACATTCAGATAACGTCAGAGGTAATATCTTAACAGTTGTATATCCAGGTGGTCCATACAGCATCTTTCATACTTCCCACCCTACTTAAAACGCTATAATCTAGTAACATACCTAGTAAGAAAAAGGTCTCTTCTATAACTACTTTGTTCTGTAAGAAATTGTGGGCCCAATATCTCGAATATATCAACATATAACAACGTTGAAGGAGTTGCAAAAGTCTAAGAATGAACCAATGCAAACGAAGTCCAATTATGAGGTATACGACAGGTGTTGCCTGTGAGATTGCTACGAAGATATCACTGAAGACCTTCGAAAAACGTACGAGAACTAACTTCGAAATAATTGAACGTATATCAATATAACAGGATCTGTTCTTGAATAATTTAGGAACTGTCGAATGCTTTTCTTGGATTTGATATATCGGAATTCAAAAGGGTCCCAGTTTCGTTACCGTCTAATATGGTTCTAGACTTGTGCTCTCTAGGATCTCATTCAGATGAACCAGAAAGAGCTGTCTCTCTGCTAGACTGTTTTGCCCAATGGAATGTTTTTAGATCACTTGAGAAACAGTACATGAGGTGCAACGAAAACCTTTTTGCATCCATCTGACACTTGTTTTAATGATGTATATTAGTTATGTAGAATATGTTGTAAATTTTCAAGATATTTGCAAGTAGAAGTAGCAGCTCGTCCTATATATTCTACTTACTAAGGTGAGTGTCGTTTTGATATCTTTCGATGCTAGCAAATTGGTTCATTATGTCTTGTTGCAAACCCTAGTTGAAATATCTACTAGATGGCAATTGTTTATGAATTGTTCGTTGGTGAATTAATTTGATTTCAGAAAATTGTGGATAGTTTGATGAAATAGTTGTATAATTTAAAAGTTAATGCAATGATTATTACTGTTTGGATATTTTGGATGAACTAGTAGCTATTATTGTAACTATCTCGGGTTGTATTGAAGTCTACTGTTTAGCGTAACACATTCCATTTTAAGAAATAGCGAATTTGACCTTATCATCATCATTAAAGATGAGGAGTACTCCAGAATATTACTTAGTTATTCTTTTAGGAAGGTCAGTATGCATTTCAGTTCTACAATTTTTTAATTTGTTTCCCTCCTCCTCTTGAAAAAATGGCGATGGATCTTCTATTACTGATATATTTCATAAACAATTTATTCTAGTTAACTTAACGACACATTAAATGAATTGAAATTGCAAAGACATATTGGTTGCTTCATAACATTAAAACTTTAAAATAAAAATTTGAGAATAGTTACTTAGTTTATACTTTCTTTCTTCCCACAGTGGATATTTTTAGGATGGATCTCTGTCGAGTTGTATCTTGGACTGTCGTTTGTCCAATAGTTAACTTAATATAATTTGGACTTATACAATACTAATTACTCAAATCATATTTTGCTTGACATTTCCCTAATAAAGAATAAATTTTATTCTTTTGGATTAAAAATAAAGATTCATTTTAAAAGTCTGCTTAAAAGTTTTTTTGAGCCTAAAGTCAGCTAAACATAAATTTATTAAATTATTTAGTTATATATCTTTCAATTCAATTAGAATTTATCAACAGATTGCATTTAAATATCAAGTTGAAAAATAATCTAAGACACCTTTAATTTTATACACTAATTGAAGTTGTTATTTTTTAATTAGATCTTGCTAATTTAGATTAAATAGAATTAATGTAATATTCGTAGCCATAATCTTACTTGAATATATTTCACAAAGGATATAGCCTCTGTAGTTTGATCTAAAGCAAGATATCAAACAATTATTTATATTATTGGTATTAATTGAGTTGATATCATGTGTTATTAACATGAAGTCAAATGGGATTTAAAAAATCCATGCTAAAAGAAGAGACAGAAAATTGCGAAGTTGAAATTCCAGATTTCATTAAATATTTCTTAGTCCCTTCAAAGGATGCTCTATCTATTATTATCATTATTATTATTTGTTTTTATTTTTGCCTCATGATAGTTGTCATTAATTATTTTCAATGCATTCTCTTATCCATCTATACCAGATGAATCCAAATGCAATTATTATTGGCCATTCAAAATTTCCGTATACAACAATCATAAAGTCAAACCAGACTAAACATGTTGCAACGAAATCGGCCCCCCACTTGGTAAAGTACATTCTTTCTACTTTAGAAGTTAGACCACTGTCCAAATAGGATTTATTAGTTTCTATGTCATTACTTTTATAACACTTTGGAAAAAACACGAATATGACAAATATTGCAATTTTCAGTAGCAACAATAACATATCCTGAATCATATACATTTCTAGATTTTTCCAATATTCATCAGTGTATTCCTCTTCAGACAGCAATGATTCATAAACTTTAAATATTGATAATGCCGTTCTAAATTCTCCATTGATAAAAGTACTCATCCAGGCGAAGAGCATTGGCATTTGGACTTCTCTATGTCTCAAAAAAAACCAAAAGAATGCAGTAATTATGTTCATTACATCATAATATGGGAAGTCTCTGAATGCTGGATTAGAGATGCCAGTGCCAAACTCTTGAAACCATACAATATAATTAAATAAATTCAATCCAATAACATAAACCAAGCAACAAAATGAGCAAACCAGTGGTGTTAAAACACTTGGTTTAGAACTGTTATAACCATAACTTATTGAATACTCCTCCTTTCCCATCGTACTTCAATTGATGAGCACTAAATATTGCAGGTTTCAAACCCAATTAAATAAATAATATATAACTATGGTTTATATATGGATAGCCCGCTGAGATCAAATAATAAATTAATAATTATAAATAATAAGCATACATTCTTCAAATAAATCCACTTATTTAATATCAGGATTTGACATATATATATCGATGTTCATATTGAATTCTACAACTTCAAATCAACATTATTCGAGTTATAAGGGATTGGATCAAAAATTTTGTATACATTCTTCGTTTCAGCAAGAAAGCACATAAATTTATTGATCTCTCACATGATAATCGAAACGGATTCCAGAAAGATACATCAACCTGCCTTTCCCCCCAGTATCGTTTCACTTGAGGCTGCTTTCAGCTTTCTTAACCCAATTCGAGATGCTTGTTTCAGCAATTATTGCCAAGACAACTATTAATCGCTGCTTTGTTGTCTATTTACTTCTATTTATAGTACGAAAAAGTTTAGCGATCTGTTTCAAGATCATGGGACAGACCATCGTGATATAAAGTCGATTAAAGATTGACAGGAAGATCTCTTTAAAGATCAACACTGCTTATCATTGGAGTGGTTTGAATCTGATCTCATAACCTCAATATGCAACATCTGTGCAACTACTCCTGATCTTTTATAACTTAATAGAAACTCAATCTCGTTAGAACCTGTATGAAGACTCGAAGAGATCTATCATCATGGGGCCCATGTGGATCAAAGTTGAATGCATATGAAGTTTAGCCCAGCTTTATGTTGTAAAATTTTGAACTTCAGAGAAGTTATTTGTAAAGCAGCCAGTTTAGACTATTTCATACGTCATGTTTACTTTTATCTTGTTTTAAATTCGAGTCACGCTATTATGTGATGATTACGAAAAACTTAGATCTAAGTGCAAACCATTTACAACTGATTGTTTCTAACTTATTTTATATTTATATAGTTACTACTGATCTAAGAAATCACAAGAAACAATTTACCAAAGTGAGGGTTGGTTAGAAGGATAGTTCTTTAGATGAAAAAAAAAACACACACTATTGGCGTGAAATGAAGAATATTTTATATTGTTTACTATTTACAATTATCTCGTTAATAATAGATCTGATCCACCAGTGATCTTAATTGCATTATTTGCGAGGAGTTATTGGTTTATTGTCTGCTGCAACATCCATTATTGCTTCCTTTATAGGATTTTCTAACAATTCTTGGGTGATATCAGATTCTGGAGTAGAATTTTCTATATTTATTGTTTCTTCGGGATCAATTTCTTGATCTTCGGCGGTGTTTTGTTGCCTTTCAGATCTCGTTGCTTTCTCATGTAGCAGTTTTGAAAGTTCGCTGCCTGGATCAGCATACAATTCTTTGAATTTTCCTACTTCTGCGACAGAGCCATCATTTCCTAGGACAATTACATTTTCTGACCTCCGTATAGTGCTCAATCTATGAGCAATGCTTATGATAGTAATGGATTTACTTTTCATTAACTTACCAAAAGTATAATTGATTGCACCTTCACTCTCTACATCTAGCGCCGATGTTGCCTCATCTAAAATTAAAATAGTAGGTTTTTTTATCAAAGCTCTAGCAATAGCGATTCTTTGCTTCTGACCACCACTCAAGAGAGTACCATGCGGACCCAATATAGTATCATATGAATTTGGAAATTTCGTTATGAAGTTATGGCAAAAACATTTTTTAGTAATTGATCTTACTTCATCTTGTGTAGGCTTCTCCACCAGACCATAAGTTATATTGTCTCTGATCGTTCCTGACATTAAGACTGGCTCTTGCTGAACTATACTCATATGACGTCTTAATGATTTACTGCTGACCTTGGATATATCTTGGCCATCGACGAAAATTTGACCAGTTGTCGGATTGTAATAACGTAGTAAGAGTGATGCAATAGTCGACTTACCTCTGCCCGAAGGCCCTACGATACAAACATTAGAACCTGCATCGATCTTGAAAGATAAATTTTTAAAGATTTGATTTGAAGCCCTGGTTGGGTAAGAGAACGAGACATTCTTAAATTCTATCTCACCTTTATTTGGTACAAATTTCTTTCCCAAAGTTGGGCTAATAGAAGGGATACGATCGGTTAACTCAAACAATCTTGAAGCAGCACCTGCCCCCTGCATAATTTCGGAATAAAACGTTGATAAACCAAATATCGAGCTTCCAGTATATTCTGTATACATCATATAAGCAGTCAAATCACCAATGGACAATGAACCGTGTAAGACTAAATAAGAACCATAGGCTAAAACCACTAGAAAACTCATATCACCCAATACCGCGGTTAAACTGAAAAATTTGGCATTGATGAAAGCAGATTGTTTCCCGACATTGAATATATGTCTAATAGCATGATTATATCTTTTGATTTCCTTTTGTTCAGCGACAAATGATTGAACCGTCTTAATACCAGAGAACTGTTCCTCGGCAACTTTTGTCAATGAGCCAGTGGCTTCTTGTAGGTCTCTGGAATTGTTCCTAATAAGTCTACCAAAATAAGAGGCACTTAGCATAACAGGGGGAGTTAAAAACAATAGGAACGCAGATAACTGTGGCGATATCGATATCATCATACCTATACCTACGGAACCACAAAGCATTGCCTTGAACCCATCTGAAACCTTCTGGGTTAGAGATCGTGACACTACATAAGCATCAGAGGACAGACGTGAAATCAAATCACCAACTTTGTTATTATCAAAAAACTCAGCATCTTGATGCATAGTTTTCTTGATTACGTTTGCACGTAACCTAGCGACTACTCTTTCACTCAACACTCTTAACAAGATAACTCTTCCATAGTTTGCAGCTGTACCAACTAGCAAAGAAACCCCTACCAGTGAGATAAACTCATAAAGGTTTAAACCAAATGCAATCTCTGGCACATCATCAACGGTGAAGTCAGGGTTTGACATTATTTGTTTTAATTCATCAAGGACAATACCGATAATTTTTGGCAAAGACATACCAATCAAACATGATACAGATAATAGCGAGATTGCAGTAAGCAATAGTTTCCAATCCCTTTTAGCTAGTCTTGCCAACCTTTTCAAATCACTCAATTCAAATTTGTCATTACTACCATCGGTGTGAGTACTGCTCTCCTGTTCTTTGGTGTTTGTAGAGTTGAACCTCTTTGAAGGTATGTTTAATAAAAGTCTAGCAATGGTGTTGGATTTCAATTGTTGTTGCTGTTGTTGTTGTAGCAGTTGGAATTGTTTAGCTTTGTTATTAGATAATTGGACAATCTGTCTAAATTGAATCAAATTTCTAGTTTTTGGAACTTTGTGCATTAAGCAACCCAGTGAAGGGTGATGGTAACGCAGGGATACTGCATTTCGTGGAATCCTCCACATTCCTTATGTAGCAATAATTAGGTATCTCTTTAGTTGTCCCTTTTAGCTTTTCTTCCCCTTGTTATATAAATTGACTTGATTACATCTTATCAACTATTAAAACCCATTTAAAATAGAAAACAAATGAGTCAAATTTTAGTTTTCAAATTTTGCCTTTGGATGGGGGCATATCAATACTCGGACCATTGCATTTAAAATGTTTATTGAATATTTAAATTATAAAAGGATATATATAAAATGATGTTCGTATATAAAGAAGCTGAGGAAAAGTTTCGATCAGCTGTATCGACGATGATGATCGGTGCGGTGGGAGGGATTGGGATATGTAAAGGATGAAAATAGTCTTGTAATATATATACATAAAAGTAGAAAAACCACACACACGCACCAAAGAATGGGCAATAGGTGAACGCTAACGAAACGTCAAGTATAAACAATAGACGTTATTACTGATTCATACTTATTGTTGAATTGGGACAGGTTCACCCTTTGGGGCACCATTTTCGAAACTAACGAATTTAGCTTCAGTCTTGGATCTAGCCAAAACAGTGTTTGTCTTCAATTCATTTTTCAAAGCCTTACGAACAGTTTGTGCTGCGATGTTAACGTAACCGTTGTAAGTAATTCCAGCTTTTCTCCAGGCAGACATGTCAGCTTGTATATATATGTATATAGTGTGTGATTGTGTATAAGTATACAAATTGCAATTGTAGCACCCCAGTCAAAAAAACAAACAAATAAGTAACTACAAGAACAAACGGAGCTGAGAATAAACCGAAAGAGTAACCCCAGATAGTTTTAACTTCTAGATCTATAAAATCCTTTAAAGTATTGTTACCAATCCTTTAATTGTTCAAAATTCCATCAAACTGTTGAAGTTGAAGGAAAAGTGAGATGGGACAGTGGCCGGGTAAGACGCTGTGCTGTTTGCGGGAAGACAATTGTTGGTCTGTACGCAGAAATCACTGGCCCACACACAGTTTGCTCCAATTTTATTGGTTCGTGTGTGGTGATGTGGAAACTATTGGCAGGGTAACTGGATTGTATCTTTGGCGTTTCTTTTTTTATGCTACTGCTCAGGCTTTTGTATGTGTGTGTCACTGTGGTCAAAAGTCTAGCAAAGTTACAGAGACAGTGACTGTGACAGTTTGAATTACAGTCGCAGCGGATAAACCATTCCATTTTGCTCGGTTCCCCCACTGTCTTCTCATCCCCATTCGAAACCAGAATGGTTTCAGTTCAAGAATATTTATTAAAGCTATTGCAACAGTCAACTAGAAAGTTGACTGTTGGACAAGGTGGAACCAGCCGACACCAGTTGATACCAGTTCTGCCTCTGTTATTATTGCTGTCTGCCGGTGTGGCTTGTTAAGTGCGTTCAAGTTCATGTTTGCTTTGGAAGTTGAGGTCAGCCCACACTTTTTGCTTTTATCTGGGAATCTACACGGCGCTAGCATATATCAATGATGCCAAGCACAATAAAATAGCTGGTCATTCTCAGATTAAGAGCAATTGATAGTAAACTATTGACGCTGAACTAAAATGGTGATGTAATTTGCAAAGTTTTGATAACTAAAGAGAGCAAACAAAGATTACAGCCTCAAGGAACTGCTCCACTTCTTGGATCGCAGTGTGGCCTAGCCTTCTGTCGCGACAGCAAAGATAAACCGTCACCAATAGCAAAATAAAAAAAGAGGTTGAAAACTAGCTACAAGTTATGAATTTAAAACTGAGACAGGGTCCTTGTTGAGTTGGACAATATATAAAGGGGGGGAGGGAGTGTTTTCTTTACAATGTACTTGTCATGGACCCTTTCCAATCCCTTCCATCCTAAAAAGAAAAATACAAAATCAAAACTTTAACGTCATTAATGCTGTTATTTTCAATCATTCGTTTGATTCTGTTAACTTTTGCCCTGTGCCAAGCTACTGAAATACCTGAAATTCGCCTCAGAGCGGTTGATACAGTTACATCTCGTGTCGAGTCTCTCAATATCTCATGGTTCCAAAAAACTTTTGTTAAACTGTTTGCAATTGCATCAGTAAAAGATGAAGGAAACAGCACCAATCTATTGGAAACCTACCAATCGATGAAAGATACATTATTCAAAATGGTATTGTTATCTGGCAAAACTCATACAAAAAAGGTCATTGTGGATTTGGTGGACACTGCAAATGAAGTTCATGATAAGGCAATAGATGTCATGTCGAGTTTGCATTCAGACCCAAACTTGTCATCTATCGAAATGAGTCTTCTAGCAAGGCCAATCAGTTCGTACACCAGAAGATTCATCGAGTTTCAACACTGGCAATTAGTGAAGATGTACCAAAATTTGTTACATGATCCAAACACGCCCATAAACTGGTGGTATGTCTCACAATTATTCGCTGTGGTCGAAAGGTCATTGTACGCTAATGAAGTTTCAGTCGAAATGTTTCATTCAAATTCATACAGGGTAGTATCTGAAATCCTCAGAATAGCAAAATATCTGTTAAACACTGGAAACAGTTTTGAACAGTACAAAGTGCCTGATGAAACTTCGGTAAAATTCGAAATAATGGAAGACCCAAAAAAGAAGCCAAATCAAGACCAATACCTCCTCTACATCAGAAAAATGATGTTCTTCATGAGCCAGGGAATAGCAATTGTTTTCTTCTGCGTAGCAGCAAATTCAATTCCTTGTATATTTGCATTCGGTTCCCTTATTTCAATGTCCTTTGTAATCTGGATCTTTGTCATGATCCAGTACATGGCGGAATTTAACAATAGAGTACCAACCCCAAGACCAATATAATCATTATCTCTCAACCAACCCAATAGACAATATCCTACCTTTGTTATACATATATATTAATTAGTATCTATATAGTCCCTCTGTTAAGTATGTAATTTTTCAATCTTTGATCTTAATTTCATAGCTCATCGCTAAAACTGAAAAATTTCAAAATATTTATTTCAACGATGAGTTCAAGAAGATAGTATCAAGCCAAGTGTTTAAATAAAAGTTTGTTTGACTTATAAGGCCAGTAAGAAATCCAATCTCTGTGGGTATATTTTTTGGATACTATGGAGAAGGTTAATAGAGATTCGTTTTATAAATTGGCCTCTGATCTTCCAGAAGAGCGGGTTCAATCAGCAGTGGCATTAATCAAAGACTTGTCAGCATTAAAGCCATCAGAAGTTGAAAAAGAATTTGAATATGTATTGAACAGATTGATTTCTGGGTTATCTTCAAATAGAAATAGTGCCCGTTTAGGATTTTCTCTTTGTTTGACTGAAGTTGTTAATTTAGCTCTAGATAGAAAAGACCAACCTTTAACATGTCTGCGTTCGATCGATGATTTCCTAGACATGGTAGACAAAACCTTAGTATTAGACTCTGTGGCAACTGGCAAGAAGTTGAAGAAAGGTAAGGATGAGAGAGGTATCATGTTTGGTAGGATGTTTGCATTGCAAGCTTTATTAAACGAGCCTTTATTCGCAAAGGTTTTTATTGATAAAAATGGGAAAATATCTAAGTTTGCTATAAGATTTCAAACTCAATTAGTTGAATTGGCTGTTTTGAAAAACTGGCTGAGAGAGCCATGTTTATTCACTTTATACCAAACTGTTGAAAAATTCATGCCTTACATCGATTCATCGTATATCGAGTCTTTGGTACAACTTTTAGATAAATACAAATTAACCTTGACTAATGAAGGGTTAGCAATTTATCTATCTTTAATTCATACTAATGGTAAAAAAATAGCCTCATCTTTACCATTGGAATCTCAAGGTTGGAAATTAAACGATCCTTTGGCTAAAGGAAATTTGCCTACGCTAACTCAAGTTCTTCTAAATTCGAATATAAATCAAAGTGAAACCCCACAAGGCAACGCTGCTAACTGGAGTCCTAGATTACATTTTGTTTGGGATATTTTATTGCCAATCCTTCTGGGTCAAGATAGTACTACCAATGATGAGCATGTCAGTAAGAAACAAAAATCTAAAACCACTTCTTCTACTTCAATCAAGTTCCAATCATTTTGGAAAATGGTCGTTGATGAATCATTCTTTAACGAAAAATCATCAAGTGAAAGAAAATATCTAGGATTCTTAATAATTCAAAAATCATTGGAATTAGTTCCTGCTCAACTTGTCGAATCCTTGTTTGGTCAAAATGTTTTAAGGTCAATGATAAATCAGTCCGCTGATACCAAGAGAATGCTTCATAAAATCTCACAAAAGGTCTTAAACTCTATAATTGAGGCCTGTGAAAAGGATACTACAAAAATTACACCTATTGTTAAAGTAATACTGTTTGGTGAAAATGGTGCAACTAATTTTGATAAATTAACGAAGACCAAAACAATTAATAAAATATTGTCTATTAAAAATTTGGAAGAGGAAACTTTATCTCAAATATTCATTATGTTGTCCAATGAAATAAAAGGTTCATCTGAAAGTATCCAAAAAGATCAATTCGTTTTAGATACCATCTTACACGTTGTACGTAACCATAAGCTGGAAATGAACATTGGAACTATCATTATTCAACTATTAACCCCAGTAATTGACTTAGCTTTCTTTTTGAAAGAGAATGAACGTATTAGCAACATTGCTAAGGAAAGATTTTTTTCATTACTATCTGAATTGGCTGCTATAACAACTTCTACTCGCTCCTGGCAATACACTGCATTAGAATTGATTTCAAATAAAGAAGCATCAGGCTCGCCTTTGAATCAAGAAATGGATCAAGATTTAATTGCTATCAAGGAAAAAGGTATCGAATGTCTGAAAGAAGTAACAAAAAAATCGGATACTGTTCAATTGAGAGGTCTAGAATGTCTTTTGTCGATGAGTTTACTACAATTGTATGCTGGTGATGTCGATTCCGTTTCTATCGTTGAAGATCTATGTACCTTTTACGATGAAAGAGAGGATGATTCAGTTTCATTAGTTGGTATTACTGAGATTCTATTGGCTTTGTTAGCTCAAAGGAAGGCTGTATTAAAGAAGATAGCATTGGTGGCTTGGGAGCAATTTGTTCCTTTTATTGGACCTGAAGAAGTCAAAGTGCTGGTCGATGTATTAAACGCAAGAGAAAATAAAGAAGGCTTTGCTCAGTTATTTGAAGGTGAAGGTGAATATGAAGTGGATGAAGAGGAAGGAGATGAACAAGAAAATGACGATGAGGAAAAAGATAAAGATAAGGATGCTGAAGATGATGAAATGGAAGATGATGAATCTTCCTCAGAGAGCGATGATGACAGTGACGAGAGTGATGAAGATATTGAGAAAATCAATAAAGAAACCACTAGTGCATTGGCCAAAGCCTTGAACCTTCCTGACAACATTATCAATGAAAACGGTGAGGTTGACTTGGATGCATTGGAAGGTATGTCAGAAGAAGAAAATGATGATGATGATGATGATGAAAGTGAAGAAGAAGACGATGAGTCCATGGACGATGAAAAGATGATGGAATTAGATGATCAATTATCTGAAATTTTCAAACGTAGAAAGGAGGCGTTGTCATCAGTTGCCTCTGGTAATCAAAGGAAGCTAGATGTCAAAGAATCTCGTGAAAATGTTATTGCCTTCAAGCATCGTATTATTGATTTACTCGAAACATACATTAAATATGTGGAAAAGATTACATCCCGCAAATTAGAAGATCAACCTATCAATAAGGAACAACTGTTAAACTGTGTATTCATGATGATGAATGCAATGGTTGAATGTATCCAACACACTCTAGACAGACCTTTAGCAGATAAGATCTCTAAACTGTTGAAAGTAAAATTATTCAAAATCAACTTGACATTCTTTGATAACGGGAATGTATCAAATCAAGAAAGTGTCTTGACCCAACTAAAGGCAATCCATGAGCTACTCATCACCTCAAAACCAGGCCAACATGCCTCGCTTTACTTTTCCGTATGCTCAACATCTTCCCTTTTCCTAAGCAAACTTTTGATAGAGACCACCAATGCCGATGAAAGATCATATGCATTTTCACAACTGATAGATATTTACGGTGAATTATCCAAAAAATGGTTGCTTAAGGGTAGATTTGGCCCAATTGTGTTCATGGATTTCTACAATTGGTTAAATTCAAAGAAAAATTCAGCTACAACTGACTAAAAATAAGTTTATCCATGTCTCTGTCCCTCCACAACTGATTGCATATCCTCCTCCTTCCCATCGCCCCCCTCAATATCAAAGAACATATGTACTATATAATTTACTATAACTCTCTAGCCTGAACCCATTCACAGGTAACACCATCCAATTCCAAAGATGGTAAAATGTATACAAGTTAAAGAGACAAACTCAGTTACAACATTAGTAAGACACAGGTAAATAAATCCATTTCAAGATACATAATTAAATCAAAACAAAGAACGACATATAATCAATCCATCACTTGTCGTTAAAGCTTCATCTTATCACGATACACATACAAGCCCTTGTCCATACTCTTATCAGCAAACCAGCACGGTACACTCCAGATGAATTCAAGAACTCAACGATGTATACTACATTCAACAAGACTCTGCCCAGTTTTAAGAATGGCAACTGATTTGAAGACTCGTTAAGGTGACATGGCTTTGGATCCAAACCTTTACCTGAGCTTGCATTGATTCGTATGGGTGACATTCAAATTTGGATATTTTTTTTATTTTAGCCAGTTTCGAAAAGGGTTGTGCGATGCTTTTACTGTGAAAAATGTCAAATTATGTAAATTGAAAAATTTGAAATTTTTGATGGGAACTGAAACGAGATGAGAGATGATGGGGCCTCACTATGTAAAAGTTGTGATAGTTTTAGTAGTTATAGAGGTATAAGATGTCAGAGCTGTCTTGTATCAGCAGGAGTTGGTTATAGCAGAGCCTCGTTTTTTAGAGATATACGAGTAGATAGTGGCAGAAATTGTTGAAACTTATCATATTGATGATCTTGATTGTTTGTAACATGCTAACATCGATGTTGTCATTAGCAAAATTGGAGACAAGGTAGCTAAGTTGAAAATGGATATATAAGAGCATGTAATAACTCGATAAAAATTCATGGAGTCATTGTAAAATGGAGAGTCTTGTGTCTTTGTAATTATAATATTTGTTTGTGTATATTTTTTGTATTTTAGTAAGACAACTGTTTAACACAACAGACATATAGAAAATATTTTATATACATATAAACTATAATAAAAATGACGTCATTTAGACAATTAGGAACTTACGAAAAAAAATTGGTTGGTCAAGCTTTGGCAGGTCAGAGTAACGGTATTATCTTTAGTGCTAAATACATTAGCAATGCCCAAGATGGGTTGACTGATGATGCCACTTTATTGACAAACAGCGAGCCACTGCTATTGGATTCAAGATTGGTTAACGCTCTACAAAAAATGGTACTAAAACACCCAGAATTGCGTACTACAGTTAACGAAAAATTGGAATTTGAAGAAGTAAAAGAAATTAAAACAAGCGATATCATTACATCAGTAAAATTTGATAGTTTGAAGGACGAATTTGTGAACTGTCATTTAGGTGCTCCTCCATACCTACTGCGTCACATATTTAACAGAAATAAATTCACACCAGGCTCTGGTAAACCATTATGGGAACTATGTGTTATAGATGATTCCTTGGTTATGTTCCATGGCCAAGATGTTCTATTCGATATATTTGCTGCTGCAAATTTCCATAAATTATTTTTGGAGACCTTGAACTCTATGGATGACGAACATATCACTGACTTGGAATACATTTATAGGTATGATGCAACTAAGTCAAACAGATCTATAAGCTTCCCAAGAACAATTTATGAAAATCCAAAGTTACGTATTCCTGGAAAAACTATCGACTTAGTTAATTTACAAACACAATCCTTTTTCAAGTCTTTCTATGTTAACGCTATCAAGAAACCTCTAGATATCATTACATTCAACTCAGAACCTATGAAATATATTAAACCAAATGAAATAGATTTTATGAATGAAGCATCTGCTCTATGTGGTACCACAGTTTTTGGTCATATCACCACTGACAGATTCGAATACTTGAACTCTATTGCCAGACATGAAAATGTCTGTATCAGAAGTTTCATCTGTGGTATTGCCTTATTGTGTTTGAAGTCAATGATCAAAGACTTCACTGGGTCTATCACATTTTCCATTCCTGTAAACTTAAGAGAGTCTATCGAAGGGCCATCCGACTTTGGGTTATTCTATAAAACAATTTTGGTAGAATGTCCACTTTCATTAATTGACGACCAGGTTTACAATAATATAAATGTTTACAATGGATACGATAATTCAAATGTCAAAGTACCAGAAACTGATCCAACATTTGAAGAAAAGAAGTTGGAATACCAATTTAAACAGATCAGTGATTTAGTATCTACAACAATGAAGGAAAGAATGAGGGCTTGGAGAAGGAATGGATTTAATGATGATGATATTAAAAAAATGAAATTTACCAGTGATGATAAAGCTAGCAATACTAAGATAATACAGATAAACGATGTTTCTGAGTTTAAAATAAATTCCTCAAAGTCATCTAAGGTAAGCATTAAAGAATTAAATTTCACTCACAGTATTTCAAATTCAGATTTCATGTCATTATCCTATACCTACTGTAAAGAAACTGGTTCCAATATATGTATACATTATCCAGATGCCTATGACATGGAAAAGTTTGTAGAACGCTTCCAATCATTTGTTGCTGACCAACAATAATTTTATCAATAAGAATATTCATAGTAATCGCTATATAAATATATCTTTCATGTATTATGCACATTCAATAATAAATAATTAATTAATTATAAGGTTATCTTTTTAAATTACAAAGTATTTATGAATTACTGGAGCATTTTGGTGTCAATTTCTGGAGTGCCTCCAACTCTGGATAAGTTCTTTGAACATTTCCATACCTGTACTACATTATCTTCTTCTACAGATGCAGATAACCATGGAATTGTAGGATGTAATGTGAAGTCATTAATAGCACTTCTATGACCTGCATGGATCATTAAAATCTCTGGGGAACCATCATCAGCTTCATCAGGTTGTTGTTCAGCACCAATTTCAGCCAAATCCCATAATATAACACGTCTGTCTGCACCCCCAGAAACAAGAATTCCATCTTCTTTTGGGTGAAATTGTAAACAGGTAATAGCGTCTTCATGTCCTGCCATAACATGTAACGGCTTAGTTGTTTGTCTCCTATCGTATAAGTATATATTGGTATCCAAACCTGCTGCTGCAAAAAGGTTTGCAGAATGCTTGCTAAATGCCAGAGTATTGAAGGCTGCTTTAGCTTGTATAGTGTTAATTACCTTACTTGTAGACCTCTTGTCGTGTAGTTTTAGAGTTGAATCTTCAGAAACAGACCCAAATAAATTCTCATCGAAATGATGCCAAGAACAATCATTAACGATATCGGAATGAATATTATCCCAAACCGATTTTGGAGATTTAGAACCGCTATCAATATCCCATAAGGCAATAGTAAAATCATCAGATCCACTTATCAATTCATTGCTAACATTTGGATTGAAAGAAAGGCCGTAACCATTCTCCTTATGATATTTTAAAGTTGTTCTCAAACCATCACTTCTACTTTTCGAACGATCATAAATTGAAACATTACCTTCACCGTTAATGGTAGCAATAATGTTTGAATCCTTGGGCATGTAACGAGCTCTATTTATCTCACCATCGTGTTCGAATTTTTTAACAATTTTGATATTTGATTTAGTTCTACGATTATCATCATTTGCTTCACCGGTGACTACCTCATCTGGGAGGTCTAAAGCTGCAACTTTCAAATAATCAACCTCTTCTCCAGATGTATGAGTCCCCAGAATCATATACTGTCTGGTATCTTCTTCAGAACCTGGAAGCCATTGAGCAGTAAGCGATGGCCATGTTAGCCTTGTTTCGCTAACAAAATCATACATTAACGGCACATTGGTCTTCCAAAGTTCATATTCTTGGTCCACAGTAAGTGGTTCTTCTTGTTCACGTTGAGCTTCCATGGTTGATTGTTGGTTTAGTTCTTAACCTACCCTATCTCTTGTTCGTTGAATAGTTCCTCTTATATATTTAAATCATTTGGATCTTGATATAATTTGGCGTTTTAACAAAAGAATATTGGTCACGTGATAATAAAGAAATTACGCGTATTCCCATCAATGAAGATGACATGACATAGCAATAATGGCATTGTAGTACTTAATGTTATGGAACAAATAATGTCGAATACCTGATCTTTGATACAGATTTAAATGAATTTGTCTGTATATCTAGATCTCGAAACAGAAACTTTCAGAAATATCTGACTTACAGTTATCATGTAATGTCTTAATTTACATTAGCATTATTCTATTAAATGATATATACTACATATGCATTAATATCCCTATCTTCTTTTGGTCGATTTGGATGTATCTTTTTCAATAACTTCACCAATACCACCCAACTCTTCCATCTTATCTTCTTCGATACGTACTTGATCACGTCTTTGCCACCAACGATCTTGGCATAAATCAAAGGATTTTTTCTTTAAATGCTTACCTCTTGCATCTCTATTGTTAGAAATTGCCCATTCTAAGAAAGTAGCACCTGTGCGAACATAGAATACACGTAGAGATTCGAATGGTTTAGGATGAGGTAACCAAGGACAAGGATCTGGAATTTCCATTTCGTCAACTTGCTCTTCCTCCTCCTCTTCTTCTTCTTCCTCTTCTTCCTCTGCAACAAGTTTTTGATCCATTATCTCTTCTTCTCCATCATCCTCGTCATCAGAATCGCCAAATTCATCATCTTCCTCATCAGAATCCACAATACCAGCTTCTTTAGCAGCTTCGATTTCTGATAAATCTTCCCATAAGACTGTGACACCATCAGTTCTATTCAAATCTATACTATAGAAGGAGTCGATAGTATAGTCTTTTTCACCAAGTTCCCAAACACCACCGTATATAAATAAGGTATCGTTTACAACTGTCATAGTTGCGTTAAATCTAGGATGTGGTAATTGAGTTAGAACCTTGTACTCTTTCTTTTCTTTGGCATCTTCAACATCATCAGCATCTGAATCGGAAGTATCATGGTCGGCTCTATCCAATTCAGTTTCAATAGCTTTAGCATCTTCATCTTCTTGATCTTTATCATCCTTGTCATTCAAATTGGCTTTCTCTAAAATTTGATTCAACAAATCTTGTAATTCTTTTTCTTTATCTTTGGAACTCTTATTATTCAATCTTACAACCTTTTTTCTCTGAGGTCTCAATTGTAATGCAAACCATCTATTTATTTCAATCTGGTAACTAAATAAATCGTTGTAAAACATGGAGTCCAAACTTTCTTCAGTCTCTTCAAAATCGTAAACACCGCCGAAAAGGATACCTCTACCCTTATGATGAACCATTGAACAACCAACTCTTGGAGATGGTTGGAAACCTTGTTTCTTTCTTCTTTCCCATCTTATAGCTGTTGGGTCTGCTTTCATCTTCAAATACCAGCAATCAGTTAAAATCTTACCCTTTTGCAGACCTTTACCAGCTTTAACCTTACAGTAACCACCCCATAGAACTGCACCTTCCTGAGTAGGAATGAACGAATGACCTGATCTTGCGTCAGGAATAGGATGATTAGGTGGGAATTCTATCTGTTTCCATTTGTAGTTTGTTATATCAAACAACCAACAGTCATTCAAATAGGTAGTGGAAGTACCTAGATCTCTGAAACCACCGTGTAACATAAAATAATTCTTCCAAATAGAAATACGGTGTCCAGAACGAGCAGAAGGTCCATTCTTTTGCTCAACTTTTGTCCATTCCTTAGTAGAACAATCTAATAACCAAGTATCAGAGTAATGGTAGAAAGTATTTTGTTTTGGTGAAGAAAATTCACCACCATGGATCAAAGCTACACCACTTGGATGTGCAGCCATTGCCGCTGAGGATCTTGGCATTGGAGAATTTTTAGAAGTGTATCTTCTCCATTGGTCATTCTCAGGTGTATAAGAGTATAAGTCATTGAAGAACTGAGTTGTTGAAGTATCTTTATTTGTAGATTCACCACCAAATAAAATCAATTCCGATTTCCCATGGTTTGGGTTTTCGATCATACAAGGATTGATTCTACGTGAAGGACGTTCTACTGATTCGATATTAATCTGCTCAAAAAGCTCTTGCTCCTTCTTGAAATTAGCTAAAACTTCTTCAATATCCATATCATCGTCATCTTCAAATCCAGATTTCTTTGCCTTTTTTTTGTCCTTTTGGTCAGCTTTTACCTGGTTTTTCTTGGCCTTTTCTGCTGCACGAGCCTTTTTGGCATCTTTGTCTTTCTTATTCTTCTTTGCCATTTTTAATTGTCAACTTGGTGGTCCTTGTCAGTTCCAGTAACCTTTAAATACCATCAATTCTGATCTCATCATCGACTTAAATGAAACTTTTCATTTGTAAATAATTGAAAAATTTCATGCGATGCTATACGACGCTATCAAAAATGAAATATATAAAGGCCCCAGGAAATGATGTAACCGTAAATCAACTTTTAAATCTAAGTAGTTCTTTTAGTTTTAACTTTAACACCTTCATTAAATGGCATATCTTTAAGAAGAATATAATTGAATATGATTAGTTGATTATAATAATGAGGTAATTTACTATTTGGGGATGCTGGATTTTGAAACTGCAACGCTATTCCTTCTTTTAATGCCTATGTATTGATAATTTTACTGTGTGTCTAGTACTGTTTCGTGAATGTTTTATCGTCATATCTAGTTTAAAGCCACGACAACTGTTGAATATTGTCTATTTTGTACACCCTTAATCATAGATAATTAAGATTAAATGGTTCCTGCCCCTCTCTATTGGTAATAGGGTAATAGGCAAACCATGTCAAGAACATTGGAACTTTAAAGTTCAAATTGTTTCTGATTCAGCAAATATAGCTGTTGAAGATTTCTGATGGAGGTAAATGTTTCTGTACAACCCTTGTTAAAAGTCTAGAAGGTATCTCTATTTTTAGTACTTTTATCGATATTCAAAGAGAAATATATTCCAGTCCATTTATATCATTATCTAAGGATTTTTACCTAATTTCATAATATGCAAAAGGATTGATAGGTAATTGTAAATGTTATATACCGTAAGAATACATTACATTGTTAGAATAAACTATATTTCATGTTGGGCGTTATTACCCGTCTTGTGTATTAAATGTAGCACAGGATTAACCTGAAACTAACGTTAGATCATTGATCTCTTCTAATAACAGAGTATCAGATGATCGGATTTACAGCACATTTTGCAAGTTAGATCAAGTTGAAAGAGCTAAAATTAAAGTGGAGAGTCTATATTTCAAAGGGTCGTAACAGTAAATATGTTACTTGTGACCGTCTAACTTGGAATATAAACTTATGCAATTGAGATTAGATTCAAGACAGCTAAATTCATCTCGAAATTCAATGATAGCACTAAACCATTTCCTATAAATTTTGAATCGATGCTATCATCCTAAGAGCGATTACTGTTGATAAACTGCCTTATATTTATATACTCAAATAATGTACAAATTTTTATTTAGTGGCGCAAAAATTAAAATATAATCACTTTTGTGTCCTTATAAATTTCAATTCTTTAAATTCAAGTTGGAAAAAAAAGAAAAAGAAAAAAAGCAGTAGCACGTGGTTTGGATCTATTACCCTGACCATTATTTCAGTCTAAAGAGATTACTTGGGATGGTATTTTTGCACCGAAACCTCAATTCACGCACAGAAAACATCACTTCGGCCAATAAGAACTAAGAACTAAAGGCAACTGAAATTTACTGTCAATACTGTTAAATATCCCCGGGTCTTCCGATTTTCGGCTTACAAACTATTCCCCGTAGGGCCGTACTAACTCTCCCCTAAACGTGAGGAAAAATGAGCAGACAAATTTGAACACCACCACCCCCCCCCCCCCCCCCTTCGTCCATCCTCTCTTTGGTCCAACATACTTCACCGAATCCCCCTCAAGGATCATGATTTTACGCATGTATATTTATATATAAACTGCTATAAATACTATCTATACTGGAAAAATTTTAAAGTCAATTGGTATTCTAGAAGGATCACCAACGTGATCCCAAACTCAATCACGATAAATTAACATTATTCGATATGCTTAGGTCCGCTATTAGACCAAACACGGTTCGTGTTCAAACACGTTATATCTCCAATCTAAAAGGATTCCGGGTTGAAACTGACGGTTTCGGTGAAATCAAGGTTCCTGCAAACAAGTACTGGGGTGCTCAAACTGAACGTTCATTTGAGAACTTCAAGATTGGCGGCTCGAGAGAGCGTATGCCTGAGGCAGTTGTCCGTGCCTTTGGTGTTCTTAAGAAATGTGCTGCAATTGTAAACACCGAGCTAGGTGGTCTAGATCCAGCAACTTCTAAATTGATCCAACAAGCCGCAGATGAGGTCGCAACGGGTAAATTGAATGACCATTTCCCTTTGGTAGTATTCCAAACTGGTTCTGGTACTCAATCTAATATGAATGCCAATGAAGTCATCTCCAATCGTGCCATTGAATTGAAAGGTGGAGTTCTAGGTTCTAAAGAGATCCATCCAAACAACCACTGTAATATGGCACAATCATCAAATGATACTTTCCCTACAGTGATGCACATTGCTGCAGTCACGCAAATATCCCAACATCTATTACCAGAATTGACCCATCTCCGGGATGCATTGGCTGCTAAGTCAGCCGAATTCGAACATATCGTTAAGATTGGTCGTACACATTTACAAGACGCCACTCCTTTAACGTTGGGTCAAGAATTCAGTGGGTACGTGCAACAATTGACCAATGGTATTGAACGTATCGAACGTGCTCAGCAAAACTTGCGTTTCCTTGCTCAAGGTGGTACTGCTGTTGGAACAGGATTGAACACCAAAAATGGTTGGGCCGAACGTATAGCCGCTGAGATCTCCAAAGAAACCGGTTTAGCATTCAAGACTGCTCCTAACAAGTTTGAAGCTCTTGCTGCTCACGATGCCATTGTTGAGGCCAGTGGGGCCTTGAACACTGTGGCATGCTCGTTATTCAAAATTGCCCAAGATATTAGATATTTGGGATCTGGACCTCGTTGTGGTTACGGTGAGTTATCATTACCTGAAAACGAACCGGGTTCTTCTATTATGCCGGGCAAAGTAAATCCAACCCAAAACGAAGCCATGACCCAGGTATGTGTTCAAGTTATGGGTAATAACGCTGCAGTAACCTTTGCTGGAGCTTCTGGTCAATTCGAATTGAATGTTTTTAAACCCGTCTTGATATCCAACCTGTTGAGTTCTGTTCAATTGCTGGGTGACGCTAGTCGTTCATTCCGCGTACATTGTGTAGAGGGCATTAAAGCCAATGAAGCCAAGATTTCCGAATTATTACACCGTTCTCTAATGTTAGTCACTGCATTAAACCCTAAGATTGGTTATGATGCCGCCACGAAAGTCGCTAAAAATGCTCACAAGAAAGGTATTACATTGAAGGAATCTGCACTGGAGCTTGGAGTTCTTACTGAGAAAGAATTCGATGAATGGGTTGTCCCGGAGAAAATGTTGGGACCATCCTCCTAATCTAATTGTAATTCCTTATACCCCGCATTAATCAAGTCATAAGATATATTGTTATTAGTGTCATTAGAACCAAAGAAAAAGAAACCGATGGGTGTATAATAAGGTACCCCACCTTCCTAATTCTGTTTTGTCTTTTTTTTATTATTATTATTACCGTATTCTCAGTTATTAAAAAGAAGAACAAGAAAAGGTACTACTTAAATAATCTATTATACCTCCCGTAAGTCATGTATTTAGTTACTCCAATTTTATATTATTTTATTTCCTTACTTGTATTTTAGCTGTCTGTTCGGTTTTCCCTTATTTGTTCTTCTGTTTATTCACAGAAGAAATAGATCTGCTCGTATATACTTTTTTTGTGGCTTAGTTACATTAGATTCCATTACATAAGAGAAAAGACTGGATAAAAGCCTGGATTCTCCAACGGTTGATTGTGATTATGATAATTTCTTTTATCTTTCATGCTGATCTTTTCATTAGGAGTGACTCCTATATTTGTTTTAATGTCCATTTTACCGTTAAGTTACCAGTGTGATTCAAAATGTGTTGCCAGGTCAATTGTTTTGATCCCCTTATCCTCCTCTTCCTCTTCCTCTTCCTCTTCCTCCTTCCCCCATAATGAGTCTCAGAGGGCGTGTATTGGATTGGATTAGGTTTTTGTGGTAAACTAATTTAAATTAACTTAAATTGATTGATTCTTATCTTTGTGGTTCATTTCGGTTAGTTCTGGTGTTTTGTTGTTTGTTTGGGTGTTTTTAACAAACAAATGTGTGTCTCTCTCTGTCAGTAACTCCGACTCCGTCCATCCCTCCCCCCGCTGAATTTAAATTGTGGTTAATTATATTATTCTCAGCTTACAGGTACAGATAATGATAATAATATATCTGTATATAAGGAGATGTTTTGAGGCGTTGAGGACACCTTTTTTTGTTTCTTTGGCTTATCTTTGGCGGTATCTAGTAGTAAAAGCGTTGGATTATTAAAAGACCGATTTAATAAGAAGTTAGATAAAAGAAAAGAAAATACCTATATCTTCATTAATAATGTTATTTTTGGTATTTCTGACTTTATTGAATTTTTGCCACGCTTTGGTTTTGCCAGAAGAGGTTAGACCTGCAAGTTTGATAACTCCGAACTCAGAAGTAATTCCTTATAACTATATCGTAGTGTTTAATGAAGGTGTGACACAAAATGAAATTTCTTTGCATATTGAAACAATGAGTCAATTACAATTACAATCTGTTACTGATCTACCTTATGATCATGAATTTTTTACAATCTCTACTTCTTCAGATGTTAATTCAAATGGTTTACTAGGTGGTGTACGTGACATGTTCAAAATTGGTAATGATTTACATGGTTATACCGGTATGTTTACCGATGAAGTTGTCGAATTTTTACGTCTATCACCATTGGTAAAATTTATTGAACGCGATTCAATGGTACACACTACTGAAGCTACTACCCAATATAATGCACCATGGGGTTTGGCTCGTATTTCCCACAGAAGTCGTCTAAACTTATCTACTTTCAACAAGTATCTATATGATGATTTAGGCGGCAAAGGTGTAAAAGCATATGTTATTGACACTGGTATTAATATTACAAACGTTGATTTCGGTGGAAGAGCATATTGGGGGAAAACTATCCCAGCAGGTGAGGCAAATGTTGACGGTAATGGTCACGGTACCCATGTTGCAGGTACTATTGCTTCAATTCATTATGGTGTTGCAAAGCAAGTTAAAGTCTATGCAGTTAAGGTTTTAAGATCAAATGGTGCTGGTTCCATGTCAGATGTCTTGAAAGGTGTCGAATACGTTGTAGGTGCCCACCAGAGAGATGTAGGTACCGCAGGTTTCAAGGGTTCTGTTGCAAATATGTCCTTAGGTGGTGGTAAATCTCGTTCTTTAGACTTAGCCGTCAATGCTGCTGTTGGGGCTGGTGTCCATTTTGCTGTTGCTGCAGGTAACGAAAACCAAGATGCATGTAATACTTCCCCAGCAGCGGCTGAAAGAGCAATCACGGTGGGTGCATCTACACTAAGTGACAGTAGAGCTTATTTTTCAAACTGGGGACAATGTGTTAGTATCTTTGCACCAGGTTTAAACATTTTATCCACCTATATTGGTAGCCCAGATGCAACCGCAACTTTATCAGGTACCTCTATGGCCTCCCCTCATATTGCTGGTCTTGTAGCATATTTCTTATCTTTACAACCTGCTGTAAAGAGTCAATTCTACAGTCAAGGTCAAGCTACTGCAATTACTCCGGATCAATTAAAGAAAAAAATAGTAGCTTTCGGTACTAAGAATGCTTTACGTGACTTACCTGCCAATACTCCAAATGTAATTGCGTACAACGGTGCAGGGAAAAGTTTGGAAGATTTTTGGAATGCAAATGACTATGTTAAGAATTATCAATCTCTAGTCATCACAGAACAACTTCAATTCATTTTGAACAAAATGAATATTTTTTAAAATTCAGAAGAGTTTTCCAAAATATCAAATCTAAATTAAAGATTTGTGGCATGCGCTGGTAGCTGTCCCTGTCATCTGTTTTCACCTTATCAAAAGTATTTGACCTTACATTTGAAAATAAAAAAAATGAAAAAAAAAAAATTTTCTAAATCAAACGATAAAATATGAAAAAAAAGTATATACTAACACCAATTACCATCTTCTAATATCATTTTCCATACAAATATGTATACCTTATATACCCTTTTACTATGTTTTCTTAAAGGTCTCATACCCTTTGTTTAAGTTTTCCTTTTTCTCGCATCGGCTCTACTACTAATTCCAACTCCAAGACAAAATAACCATTTTGAAAATTTTTCGATGAGATAGATATATCTTTATATAAAGACAAATGAAACTGATGAATAAACGTGTTTTAAAGTCATCAAATCAAAGGATCTAAGCAGCTATCCGTCAAGTCATCCATTTAAAAATGCGTCAAAGAAGAGCTAAATCCTATAGAAAGCAAATGTTAGTATACAATCACACTTTCAAATTTAGAGAGCCATATCAAGCGATTGTAGATGACCAATTAGTTTTAGATTGTTGTCAATCGAAATTTGATATTCTAAAGGGTTTGAAACGTACGTTACAGGCAGAAGTCAAAGTGATGATCACACAATGTTGTATGCAAGCGTTATACAAAACTGATAATCAAGAGGCAATTAGTATTGCTAAAGAGTTTGAAAGACGTCGTTGTAATCATCCTCCAAAGGATCCCAAATCTCCATTGGAATGTATTGAAAGTATTGTAGATATAAAAGGTTCCAACAAGCACAGATATGTTGTGGCTTCTCAAGATATGGATATCAGAAGAAAACTGAGAAAGATTCCAGGTGTCCCAATTGTACATGTTTCAAGAGCGGTGATGATTTTAGAACCATTAAGCGACGCCAGTTTGAAAATTAGCGAAAGATTGGAAAAGGATAAATTATATAAAGGTTTGAATGATTCAAAACACACAGCTGGTTTAGATGAACCAAAATCGGAAAAATCGGAAAAAACCAGTGAAAGTAAGAAGAATAAGGGACCTAAACAACCAAATCCATTAAGTATGAAGAAAAGAAAATCAAAGCCAGCTAGTAATGAAGTTGAAGCTGAAACTGAATCAAAGAAAAAAAGAAGAAGAAAGCATAGATCGAATGCTAACTCTAATGAATCAGAGATTAAACATTCAGATAATGAAAACGCTAGCGATGGCGAATAAGTTAATTTTTGCATTTAAAATTTTATAAATAATTGATATTATTATAGAATTTGTTTTTAAAAAAATGGGTATTTGATAAATATTAATCTATATATTAAAGAAAAGTGTTTCTAAGTAAAATAAAAAGTTTCCATTCTTATTATTATTAGTAGTATTATATTTCATTTTTGTATTATATTTCATTTTTGTATTATAAATAAACAACTAGAAAACCAATAGCTGATAAATATCTCTTAATTTTCAACAAATACAGAATTCAAATAGGCTTCCATCTCAGTATAATACTTTTCACAAATGGATTCCAAAACTTCGCCATAGTCTTTCTGTCCCATCTCATTGTTGAATCTTAAGTTATCATCATAAAATTCAATAATTTCTTCGATAAATCGATTATAAATGACACCTTCTGAATCTTGGGCCATTTGAAATTCACTCATTGATACATCTCCTAATTCTGCAACATCTTCAGTCTCAGTTACAACCATTGATTCAAATACTTCCGATGAAATTTCCATGTAATCGTGATTTAAACTTTGATCTGATTCGATATTTCTTGATATAATTTCATTAGTGTCATTAGTTGTCTTTGTAAATACTGCGTCAGTCCCATGAATGCTCTTTGTTTCTAATTCGATATTATTGTTTGAACCATGGTTAAGATAAGAATAGGAATCCTTGGAGAGTTCGGAGTTCGGTCCATCAATTGGGAGTCCTAGTACTGGAGAGAATATTGATGGAACTAACGCTAAATGTAAAAGTATTAACATAATGTCGGTGGATTTATCCTTCTTGCTAGTTGTGAGTTTCTTTCTCTTGGAAACAAAAGGAACAAAACCTATAATTGTTAAATGGGCAGGTATTCCCCGCCACCTTCCATTGTTTTTATATCAATCAAGATCATAGTTTTATCAAAAAATGTTTGCTATTTAGTATGATAGCAAACAATAAATCTTACAAGGAATAACCTCAAGAGATGCCTCAAAAGAGGTAAGACAGCAAGTAGAATCTTACTATATGTTTAATAGCAAAGAAATGGTCTACAAATTCCTCGAAGGCACACTAATATTAGTTAAGTTCCATATAATTCAGGTGGTTAAGTTAAAACTATTATTATTTCTTGCTATATGAATAGACATGTGTAACTAGCGAACCGACTTATGTAAAGCAGTCCACCATAGGTTTTGGTAGTTCAAACTTGGATCAAATACAAGTTTGGCCACTCAGCAAGTACATAAATGTCCTAATATATACAGATCATCACATACAGTTTCCTTGACTTCCAAAGAATGCTCAATTTTATGCTTTTATGCTTTTATCCTGAAATCTTGCTGCTTGTTTAGTTTTTAAGCTTTAAGTAATTTTTGCAAATATCAAACGCGTATTAATTATTTAACAATACAAATTGATAATGTAAACAAATGATTCGATGAGTTGTATGTTTGTGATAAAACAACTTCAAAGACATCGATCGTCGACCATTGGTATGCCATGTCATTGAGTGATGGTGTTAAGGACAAGGTAGAGTGTAATATTAAGGTTGTTGCGAGATTCAAAGGGCAGATTGATAACGAAAAGGGTGACGATGTTAGAGATCAAATTATAATAGAGGAACCAGGGCTGATAAAATTTAAAGGGAAAGACGATGCTGTTAAACGTGAATTTGGAATGGATCATATATTTAGTTCTGATGTGGTTCAGGAGCAATTGTACTTGGATTCGCTGAAGCCTATGTTTCAAGATTTTATAAATGGTTACAATTGTTCTACTTTAGTCTATGGAAAAACAGGATCAGGGAAGACGTATACGTTGAGTGGTGAAGAAGATTCATTACTTCATTCGGAAGCATCAAGACTTTCTGTTGGTGTAATTCCAAGGGTTTTGGAGGAATTATTTGATCATTTGTCTTGTAATAATATTGATCACGTGGTAAAATGTTCCTATGTGGAGATTTATAACGAAGAACTTAAAGATCTACTGGTGGATCAACATAATTCCCTTTTATCAGCCTCGATCAAGAAACTTCGAATAGTAGATAGTGGATCTCCCAATGTCAAAAATGGAGCAAATAGTAACTGTAACACAAGAGACAATTCTCCATTAACAAGTTCAAAATCGATACCCACCGCAATAATAAGAAAAAAAATGGGTAGACAATCTTTAACTGCATTGAAACAGGCGAATACATTGAGTATATCAAGATCAAACTCATTCAATGAATACTCACCGCAGCGACATATCCAGGAGAAAACAGGAGCACCATATATTCAAAATTTAGAAGAATTTCATATAACCAATGCAAAAGAAGGCATACAATTATTACACAGGGGTTTAAAAAATAGGCAAATTGCATCAAGTAAAAATCAGAAGTATTCGTCAAGGGCAAGTACGATATTTACAATTGTATTATATAAAGAAGAAGAAGGAGAGATATTTAGGGTCTCAAAATGGAATTTTGTTGACCTGGCAGGTGCAGAACATTCTCATAAAATTGAAGGTACCAATCAAAGATTCAAAGATATTAATATAATAAATCAGGGGATCCAAAATCTAAACAAAATAGTTAATTCTTTACATGAAAAGGAATCGGTGATACCCTTCAAAGATTCAAAGTTGACATATCTAATAAAAGACACACTCGAAGGAAATTCAAAATCTATTTTTATTCTCACCTTAAGGTTTAATAAGGATTCTCTTGATGAGATGATAGAAACATTAGAATTTGGAAATAAAGTCAGGTCCTTAAAATGTTATCCATTGTTAGGTCCATCGATTAACAAAGAAACTTTGATTAAAAGCATATCAAATGAACTTGCAAAGGTCAAGTCAGATTTGTTGTCTACAAAATCTAAAGAGGGTGTTTATATGAGCCACGAGCATTACGATGTTTTAACAAAGGATTTGGATAAACATAAAGTTGAAATTATGGATCTGAAAAAAGTAATAGATGAACTAAACGAACAAAGTACGACCCTCCGAAAAGATAAAAGAGCATTTGAAGAAGTCAATGAAGTCCAAAGAATTAAACTTCAATCTATGAGAGATTCAGTAAGTATGATGTATACAAATATTGAGAAACAGCAAAGGAGAGAACATGATCTTATTAATTCAACTGATAAGCTAAAAGAAACTGTCAATAATATGAATGTTACCATAGCTCGATACACTGACAGAGAATCTTCAGTTCAAACACAAATGAAAACTCTTTTCAATGAAGAGCTGTCAAAACTTAAATCAATGCTACTGAAAAACTTGCGCCAGTTTGAAAAAAATGAGTTGATAGACAACTTAGAAATTGAAAATAATTTAAATAAGGCACATGAAGAAATCAAACAGATATTGCAAATTTCGGAGAATGAGATAGACTCCTTATTTTTAGATTGCATTAAGAAGATGTCAGAAGAATCTCCAAAGTTATTTTCATCTTTTATACAGGATGTATCACGATTGGAAAATTCTACTAGCGAAAACTACAATAATCTGGCAGAATTATTATCCGATGTAAGTGAGGAATTTAATAATTTAAAGCAATATATTAATGAGAAATTTTTTAAAAATAATCACGAAGAATTGCTTAAAACTTATGTTAATAAAACCTATCATCAAGTTCAAAAATCATCCGATGACTTTCTACTAAAATTTAATGATTTACTGGAATCATATTTAGAAGGAAATAAAAGTGTTCTGTTACAGAATATAAAATCAGCAACATCTGAAGTCATTGAAAATGAAATGAATCATTTTATTCCTCAAAAGGAAAAATGGGAAAAATCTATAGAGTTAATTGAAAAATCAAAACATTCAAGTAATGAATTTAAAACAAAAAATAGAGTGATTGTTGGTAAGTTACAAGATACTTTAAAGGGCACATCCGAATCATTGTTTGATACTCTTTCAGAAATGAAATCTAAAATTAATGAGTTACAGAAGGCGGCTAATATAATCGAGAATAATGAAGTGGTTACTGAGGAGTTCATAAGTATTATGAAAAAGAATGGCATATTAAAGGACACACTCAATATAAATATGACGTCTACCGAGGAATCGATTGTTGCTTTCGATAAATTAGATGATTCTATAAGGAATGTCTTTAAGAATGAAATTGATACAAATATTACTGGTTATCAGTCGATCTTAAAGGAAATATTTGATCAACTTGATCAGCAAAGATTAACGCCAAATATGAGAAATAGGAAATCTCCTGTCAGGCAAAGTGTATCACCTAGTAGAACAAGTCCCCAGATACAATCTCTTATGAACTCGGATCTTTTACAATTCAATGAAGCAAGAAGCTTTGCTGTAAAACATTCTTTGGATAAAGCCCATGATGAAGACAAGATTGATGAGGGAAGTAGTAAAAAGAGGGTCCATCGTGCATAACTAATATATCTATCCATTCAAGATTGATTTTAGGAGAGGATATTAAAACTTAGAGCATATATAGATATATATTAATAATTTAATGAATATTAACGTTATTATCATCCTTGATATTGTTATTCCCCCTTGTATTATGAAGTTTTCGTTATGTCGTTATATAATTCTTCAGCTGTTTATCACTTTGAAGTCTACCAAATGCTTCAGCATCTCTTCGACCTCAGATCTTGGCTTTTCAAGTAATACGCATATTTTATCTAAATTTTCAGTAGACTCTAGAGCCTCTAGAAGTATTTGCTCATTTTGTTTTCGTAATTTCTCTAAATTGTTGATATCTTCATTTTCTGTAACGTCCCCAGAAGAAGCAGAATATTGCATGTTACTATTTTGTTGAAATGATACTTTCGATAATGTTCCTGGCCTTTTGGGTACTTTGCTGTATGGATTTGAAGATTCGAACAAACTTTGAACTGATTTTTTCTCCAATTCTTGTGAATTTAAAGCTCGGTTGCTTGAATTTTCTTCTTCTGTTTTTAGAGTTAATTTTTTATAAACATTTTTCAAAACACTATCAGCAATATCTAAATCTAATGTTTGAATTCTTCTATTTCTACCAGAAATAAGATCTTCCCCCACTTTAATATCAGACGTGGAAAAAATATCTTGAGAAAGCTGTTTTTGTAGTTTATCCTTTCTTGTCTCTTTTCTGTTTTGAATATCTTTGAATTTTTTAACTTTATTAATTTCTTCAAAATTGGCTGTGACAGGGAATGATTGGCATCTATAAAGTAGACCATTAATAATACCAAATATGATGAATTTCCTTATATCAATGCCATTATTTCTTATTTCAAAAAAATTTTCTTTATACCATTCTTTTAGAGTAACACCCTGACTTAATGATCTGTAAAGATCAAACAAAGTAGATCTTGTTGGTAACTGTTTAACGTTTCCATTCAAATCGTTTGTATTTTGGCTTGAAATACTGCTTTCTGATCTATGTCTGTTTAAGTATAAATCTGATCTTGAATATAAAGAGGAATTTTCATTATGAGAAGAAGCTCCCCTTGAAGATACAAATGATGCAGCTCTTGAATCAATGCCGTTTTTGGATTTCCTTAAATTTTGACTGTCACTTCCATCAGAGTCCAATTTTAGTTTTGATAATGATTCTAATGGTAGTTGGTGTAAAGTGGAAGATTCTGGGACTGTTACGTAAGTTTGGCATTCTGTAGCCATCAATGGATCTGTTAGGAAATTACGAAGTAAACTAGTTGGGGCATATATGTTTGAGAATTGGAAAATGTCTGAAATTACTACACAGCCATAATAGATGAAATGTTTAATACATTCTATCACCAACACAGTATCACTATCACTTAATTTAGCAATTTTTGCAATCGAATTTACACCATCTATATGTGGTACAATTTTCAACATAGTTGGGTCCCAATTGACGTCTATAATTTCCTTTAAGTTAACTCTTGATATCGGTACATCTTCTATAGATATAGTTGCTGGAGGTGGTCTTAATAGAGGAAATAGTTTTATATCTACAGCGTTACCTGCGTCTATTGGGATCAAACATTCTGAATAATTATTTAAATCTTGATATAGTCTCATGATAAAATCTTGTATGGAAAAGTCTGATTCATCATTTGAGACAAATTCTTGAATTTCTTTATACTTTTCGAATAGGTATGATGAATTTTTTTTTGAATCGGTTGCATTTGCAGAATTTGATTGATCGTTATTGCTGTTGTTGCTATTGCCGTTGTTGTTGCCACTGGAATCCTTTTCAGGTTTTAATTTTGAATCTTGATCTAGGGAAGAATGTAAGATAGCTTTGAAATCGAAATAAGCTAAATCTTTTTCTGCTTTTGATAAGAATTGAGATTGTTCTTCTAGGACTCTGAACATTTTCCCTAATTTCACAATGACTGATTCGTATGGGGAAGTTTTGCATTCATAGGGGAAGACGAATACCAAATTAAAACTGAAGTTATTTCTAGCATAGATGGAACAGTTTATAGTGATAGGGTATCCGATAATTCTGTAGTTTCCATATTTCAAAGTTAACAATTTATTGCATAATTGTGGTTTAGGAATCACGTAACTTCTGATTGAATCGAAATTTATACTGTAGTTGTCTAGATTATTTGGTGGGAATTGGTAACAAACTTTTGGACCTTCAGTAGGATGGAAAACTGAATAGAAGATGGTATGAATAGGTTCAAACCCATCGAAACCTACCATTATACAGATATAACCGGGGTTACGTGAGTGTGTATTAGTAGTGTTTGGTCTTTGGTTTTCGGTTATTCCTTTTACTAGAGAGAGAGTGGGTATTTTAAATAAGCTTGGATAAAGTGGACTAATTTTTCAATGATCTAAAGCTTTTGAATGCGATGAGATGAGAAGTAGTGAAGGGGAACGGTTGTGTTGGGAAGGTATAGAATTATATTAAATTAAGTATTAAATTACTTTATAGATTATCTAAAGCGTGTGTGGAGTGATACAAACAGGTGTGACCCTAACTAAGTATACAAAATATGTAGATATAATTTGTAAGATATGTAAAAAGCTGAGTAGAGTGACCTTTTAATTCCAACGACAGGAAGTGAGATGAGATGAGATGGGATGGGATGGGATGAGGTAAGTTGGAAGTGGAATTGATTAGAATAATAAGTCTAAGGTACAACAGATACATAAAGCAGCTAAACAAGCTGTCATACAGTCGTCGTTACCCTTTTGAGGAGGTTGTTGTTGTACGTATATAGGTTGTTGTTGTTGCTGTGGTGGAGGTTGTTGTTGGTAGTACTGTTGTGGTGGAGGTTGTTGCTGGTAGTATTGTTGTGGTGGAGGTTGCTGTTGGTATTGAGGGTATCCTCTTGAGTTGTCGTAACCTTGTGGAGGAGGAGGTTGTGAGTGGCCTGGGGGAGGAGCACCTGGACGAGAGTACTGTAGATATATGGGGTGGAGGGAGAGTTAGTGATTGGGATGGGGATGAGGGAAGGAAGAAAGACAAATGAATATATTTAATAACATACTGATTCTTTTTTGTTTGAGTTGCCGTAGTATTCGTTGGCAGACATGGTGTGAAGTGATTGATTAGATAGTTTATGAACCTTTGGTGTTGGGGGGATATGAGAGCCAGATCAAAATATAGAAGAGAAGAGAAGAGAAGAGAAGAGATGAGATGAGATGAGATGAGATGAGCAAGGCGAGTGTGGTATTGATATATATAGAGTTCAAGATAGATACGAAGTGATTGATTGATTGATAGATTGTTTGTTTGGCTGGGATGGAATGAAGTGAAGGGAAGGAAAGCGAGGTGATTTGATTTGATTCTTTGCGATGATGTGTATATCTGTTCTTTGCTCGAGAGAGAGAGAGAAGGGGGGGAAGGCAGCGAGAGTGGAACTGGTTGGAGGAAAAGTAAGAGCAGGTGCGAGAGCAAAAGAGCGTTGGAATAATGCGTTTGGACGAGCGGAGAGAAGGGAGGGTAATGGAAATTTAAATGTGAGTCCCTGTATTGTTTCAACATAGTTTTATACGAATTAGTAAAGATCTATGACACCAGATAATACGTGTTATTATCGTTGACACATACAAAGACTAATAGTGACTGTTATTTGATTCAATTGTATATTATTGTATATTATTTACTTACTCTGTACATTAGAAGAAGAAGATATAGAACTCTTTAATAATAAATATACTTATTAACAGTACTAGTCTACTACCAAACAGACGAATAGAATAAAAGCAACACCAAGCACTTATTCAACGTACAATTACTAGATATCTATAAAATAAGAATTCACAACAAAGAATACATGCACGTGACTAGTCACTGATAACGCGACCACGTGACGCCAGGTGCGTGTGTATGTGCATGGTGCATGTGCGTGTTTATTTTATTTTGCCGAGTGTAACAATTTTTTTGTTTTTGTTTTTGTTTTTGTTTCGGGACCACACGTTGGGGACGGGGGTGGTCCAGAGGCTTGTGAGTGTAATGCAAGTGTAATGTGTCATCTGTCACTTCTGACGGCAATCATACGCGTAACAAAGCTCAACGGCCCGAGCCAACCGAGACGAGACGCTGCACTAGGTCGCTGTGTTCTGTTCTGTTCTGTTCTGTTCTGTTCTGGTTTGGTTTGGTTTGGGCTGTTGCTTAAAATAGCATCTCTGCTTGTCGAGGGAGAGGGAGGACAACGACGCGTGCAGTGCAGTGGAGAGAAGTGCGAAAAGTAAAAGAAAAAGAAAGCGAAAAAGAAACGCGCTAGCAGAGACAAGTTGTTTTTGTTTCTTCTTCTGCTCTCTCTGCTCCTGGCTCTTCCCCCTCCCCTCCCCTCCCCTCCCGCTCTCCCACTCCAAAAGCTCATCGCATCGCTTTTCGTCTTTTCGTCTTTTTTTGTTTTTTCGACTCGACTCGACTCGAACTGCTCTGAGCTGAGCTGAACTGAACCGAACTGGAAATGTTTAACCGTTGCTGCTGCTGCTGCTGCTTCCAAGACAAAGACTGCTCACAAGACTTTTGTTACTGTTACCGTTTTTCGTTTTACTCTCTCTCGCAATGCGTTAGCTTGTTACTGTTACTGTTACTGTTCCTTCCTGCACCAACACCAACAACCGTGATCCATCAATCGATCAATCGATCAAACACCAATGCAAATACCCGTAGCAAAATTTATATCGTCAAACATCATAATCTATCCCATCTACATTTATATACATTTGTATATATATATATATATATATACACAAATGTATATAAATGTATGTATCTATGGTTGATTGCACACACACACTCAACTCTCTTTCCTAGCTCCCTGTCAACGCAGTTTCATCCCATCCCATCCAACGTCACTGGGCATCGCGGGAAATGGTCAGCAACAGAAGATTCTCAAAACTTTTCAAAGTTTCTCTCGTACTAGTCGCCGTTTTAACTTTTGTCATCCTAAGACATCACAAAGATGAAACTGCTAAAGTATTGCAAAACTACACTGACGCCGTCAGCTCATACATCGGAGACTCAATAGGTTCATTAACTGGCTCCTCTACAGATACTGCCTCCTCCTCCTCCTCCACCACCACCAACGACGACAATAAAGAAACTCAACTAGAGGATGCCGACGACGACGACGATGACGACGAATTGAACTTCGTCCAGATGGAAGAAAAAAGACTAAGAGAAAACATGAAAACTTTCTATTCAAAAGTTTACGATCTACTGAGATCAGCCGGTCCAGAAGGAACCTCAGATAGAAAGTACGGCCAGGACTGTCCCCTAGACTCAGATATAGGCCAAAGGAAAAACGACGTCCATAAATGGAACGTCCTAACACAAGATAATTTATCAAAATGTCTACAGATCGACGAAGAATCTCTAGCCATGTTGAAAAATTCCCATCGCAAATACATCGACGGCTTGAAAGAATTGGGCTCATCTCCAGATATGTATTCCGGCGACGGTATCGTTCTAGTGGCAGGTGGGAAATTCTCACTCTTATCCACTTTGGTAATTAAAACTATCAGAAATTTGAAAATTAATTTGCCTATCGAAGTATTCATCCCTCCAATGGACGAAGGCGATGACGAGCTCTGTAACACTCTATTGCCAAAGTACAACGCCAAATGTATCTTCCTGTCAGATTTCCTACCAGAGGACAAGATCAACGAGGATATAAAGATAGATGGGTACCAAACGAAGGTCGTCGCAATCGCTGCCTCCAGTTTTAAAAACGTACTGCTTCTAGACGCCGACAACTACCCAATCAAAAATATTGACGACATCTTCTACTCAGAACCATACTCTTCAAGAGGTCTGATCTTTTGGCCGGATTACTGGAGACGTTCCACTTCTCCTTCTTACTACGACATCCTGGATCGTGACATCTCCCAAAATGAACGTGTTCGTAACAACCTAGACGATATAACTCCTCCTTCGGTTTACACAGAAGACTTGAAAAACCATAAAGATATACCAATGCATGATTTCGAAGGAACCCTGCCAGACGTATCCACAGAATCTGGTCAACTAATGATAAATAAAGAAAAACATCTAAAGAGTCTATTACTGGCAATGTACTATAATATGTATGGACCAAACTGGTATTATCCAATCCTAACTCAAAAGGCTTCAGGTGAAGGTGATAAAGAAACTTTCATCGCAGGTGCGAATTTCTTCAATTTGCCATTCTATCAAGTTAAAAAACACGTAGGCACAGACGGTTACACTCGTCCAGGTGGCTATCGTGGGGTTGCAATGTTTCAACATGATTTCATTCAAGATTATACTGCTTACGAAAATGCAAAAACTTTCATCGAAAAAAAATACCCAAACACCAAACAAGATAAAATAGATAAAGAATATTCACCTTTTGACTTCACTGACAAGTTCTTTGAAGATGAGCATGCTGACCCAGTAATCGATGTTATGTTCGTTCATGCTCATTTACCAAAATTCGAACCTGTTGCATTATGGGAAGAAAACGATCTAATGCAAGACGGTAGTCATGTTCGTTCTTATACAAAATACGACAAACTAAACCATTACGATTTAGAAATGGAAAATTTTAAAGCATTAGAAGAATTGTTGTGTCTTGAGAAACCATTCGAATTTAAATATTTGAAAGATAAACTTTCAGATGATAAAGAAAAATGGCAAGGCCTTTGTAAATATATTAAAGACAGACATATCTTTATGGAAAAGACTCATGAAGAACATTTCTCATAATAGAATTCATATACTTTTATATAATAGAATAGAATAGAGTACAATACAACACAATACAATACCATATTATCCCAACTGTTACTATATTTATATACATATATACATATTTATGTCAGATGTGCATTGATGACGTCATTGTTTCCAATCCTCTTTCGAAAAAATTTATAAAATACACCAGACACGTTAGAGGTTTGTGATATAAATAAGAATCGAAACGAAGTAATGATGAATAAGTTTATGGATGGTGATTATAAGGCTAGTATAGTCTCTGTTTGAGCAGTTGATGAAGAGTCAGTTTGACGTTGTTGAGAATCTACGATGGCATTGGGTTGGAACAAGAGAAATATTAGAATTTTATCCATAACTGGGGTTTTGTTATTCGTTATATTTTTGATTAGTCAAAATAATAATGGGATGTTAACAGATCCTAGTGGACTAATTTCTGATGCTTTTGAGTCTACTTCTGTTAAAGGTATGATAGATAGTGATAATGTTCGTGTTGGTGGTAAAGTAAGATATTCTTCTGACGATCTAGTCAAAGGTACGGCTAAAGACGATAAAGTTAATGCTGAAATTGATAAGATTAAAGAAGAAGTAGGGTTACCATTTAATGATAATAATAATAATAATATTGCTAACAAGAAATTGACGACTGATAATAATAAAAATAATGTTGTCAACGAAAAATCTACAGTTCAAAATAATGCTGCTCAACGTGCTGTTCAAGGTGGATCAGAACCTGTAAAGTTTGACCCTGCCCAGGAATATGCTATAATCAGCGAATTATCTCCAATCATCTTATATACAAAGACTTTCTGTCCTTACTGTAAAAGATTGGCTAAACTATTGGAAGAATCTTATTCTTTCCAACCAGAATTCCATGCTGTTAAATTGGATAAACATACTCACGGTGATGAGTTACAACAATTTGTTAACAAACAAACTGGTCATAATACCGTGCCAAATTTTGTAATTAATGGGAAATCATTAGGTGGTTATGATGATATTTTGAAATTGCATGAAGCAGGCAAATTAATAGAAACCATCCAGGAGATGAGTGATTATTCTGTTGTCGTCAAAGCTATTGAAAAGCCATCAAATTCTTAAATGAATGAATAGAATTGATTCATAAAAATAATATATTTTTGAATTTGACTGATTGTCTTTATTTAAATAACTCTCTTATAGGATATATAATATAATTATGACAATGTATATACAACAGTAGACTAACGACTAATATGTAATCTCGGGTTAAACTTGTCCATCTTTACTGTTTTGGTTGGTTTGGTGTCTTCATTTATATATATATATATATATATATACCCTTTAACTGATATCTAAATTCTATCCATCAATATATCGATGACATTAAAACAAAAAAATTTTATAAGTGCCATGCCAACTTTACCAACACAACTGGTTTTTAAAAGCACAAGAAACAAATAGATAGACTAGTTACGTGAGTACTACATATCTGAGGTTATTGGATCATGAAAGTAGAGGTTAAGAAAGTTCATTGTGTTTTCTCCTGGTCCTGGCATATACCAAAGAATGCAGGTACTATTGAGAGTGGATTAGGTGAAGATGCCATTGGTGATATTCATGGTATGGTCCATGAAGACGATGAGGAAGATGTGTGTGGTATATGTAGAGCAAGTTTTAATCGTACTTGCCCTAATTGTAAGTTTCCTGGTGATGGTTGTCCCTTGGTTATCGGTGAATGCCAACATAATTTCCATGTGCACTGCATTTATGAATGGTTAGATACAAGTACATCGAGAGGTTTATGTCCTATGTGTAGACAGTTGTTCCAATTGAAAAAAGGTGTATCCATAAACGATTCTCATATTGAGAGGTTTAGAGAGTTGGCAATTAAGAGACAGCAAGAACAGAATGAGTTTGAATCAAATTTAGATGATGATGCTGCTATTGCAAGAGCTATTGCAGAACAAGAAGATACAGGGAGAAACGTTGATAACCAAGGAGATATAATAATGGACCAGGATCTAGTGGTTCGATGAATTATATAGACTTTTCGTGATTAAGATCCATCCGCTAAATACATCCTAGATGTGTTGTCTCTTTCAATCTCCCATTGGTGAAGTTTCTTGCAGGCATGAAGCTTCTCTGTATTTGCATATATCTATTAGGTACTAGTATATAGGTTACGATTCTAATGTATTATAAGAATGATAAGATATTACATAAAGTGCGTATATACATTATATTATGTTTTTGCCGAATGTATAAATTTGGATATCTTGGTGGAATCCTTCTCACCATCAGTTTCGACACCGCCACTGACATCAACACCTACTACACCAGGCAAAGAAGAAGCTGACGAAACGTTATCAGGTGTTAACCCCCCAGCAAGCAAGAACTTGACAGGTTTGTCACTATTTTTTGCCCAATTTGAGATAGATTCCCAATCCAAGAGTTCACCGGTTCCGCCAGCCTCTGAATCAAATAACGGTAGGCAAATAGCACTATCGTCAGTGGTACATATGCTGCTAACAGCATCACAATCTCTAGGAAATATAAACCTCTTGATAATAGGTTTCTTTATATACTCGTAATACTCTTTCCAATCCTCATCGCCATGTAACTGAACGATATCGATATCATAAAGGTCAGATATTTTCAAAACCTCCTCTTTTGTCTGATTTCGAAACACACCGACGACATAAACGCTACCATTTCCAATACGTCTACTGTTCTTGGCCAAAGCAGATATGTTTCTGGCTACATCAGGATTAACTGTTCTCTTTCTATTAGGCACACATATCATACCAACCAAATCCGAGCCTGAATCAATTGCAATTTCAGCAGCTTGCAAAGTCTGTAACCCACATATTTTAACCAAAGGGCCCTTTCGATTGACAATTGCACTCAAATCGATCATCATAGCCTCATTCATAGCTCTAACTTCCCAGTGCTGAGTCGGTTGGGTATTCTTGAATAGTCATCAATCGAGTTCGAAGTTGGGACATTTTTCAATCCAATGCCAAGCCAAAAATGGCAATGAATGGGAGGGGAGGTCCAAACTACAACAACAAGATGCAAAAGGCAAGAGGGAAATGTGAGGAAATGAAAAGAAATACTTGGGTATACAAGATGGAGAACTAACCCCTGGTTCAACCAAGAGCTCTCTTGCTTATCTATCACCTTTGCTCCGGAAACAGCAAAGGTGCTATGATATGATATCTGATGAGGGCAACTCAACGTCAGCGTAGAGTTTTTGAAACCAAGCAAACTTAAAGAGAACATACGTCATGTACATCTTGGCTTGATTAGACACAGTGAAGTGTAGATAAGAATCATTTTCACCACCACCGGTCCCAGTCCCTTCCCCTCTCTCCCATTACTAAGACATTGCTAACTCTACATGTGACAGTAGCATTAGAATACCACATCACATTCTAGAGACCCAAGGAACTTGCCAAAAGAACTTGCCAAAAGAAACCAAGCAAACAAGCAAACAAGCAAACAAACCAGAAACTAGAACCCTCTGGCACCTCATCTCATCTCATCTCATCCTTTTATATCCAACCGTTGGCCTGGTTCGTCATACATCCATCCCATCTCCTGCCATGTAAAATTTCAGTTAGCCTTTAAAATCTATAAAAAGGGCTAAATTTGATATATAAGAACAGAAGAGAGAGAAAGAGACAGAGAGAGAAGGAGAGTTCAAGTTGATGGATGGCTAAAAGAAGTTGGGTTGCAAGGTTAAGCAGGATTAAGTTGATGGTTTGGTTGTAAGAAAGTAGGTCCTGGTTGATTGCTTTGTGTTTGATAAGAGAGATAGTGTGTGTGTATTTGTTTGTGTTTTTTTATTACATCGAAAGGATAGTATTTTTGACTATATTTGCAAATGGTCGAAGATAACAAGAGTTCTGAAGAGGAATCGACACCTATACCTTCTAGGATGAGTACTCCCCTGGATGGCGATGGTGAAGGTCGGGTACGAGTTCCAGGTAAGAGTGTGGTTGGTGGACCTTGTTCCTCTGAGCATAGTGCTGGGACTGGTGGTAGTGGTAGTGGTAGTGGCGGGACTTCTGATCAGCGTACACGTGTCAGCAGTTCTGATGGACAAGATCATAGTAAAGTTCATCGAATTATATTTAAACCATTGCCTGCTGATTCGGTGGCTCAGGCTGAAGGTGTGCGATGCTACAAGCTGCCTGAAGGCAATAAGATTAAACAGATTTTTCTGCCTGCAAATATCACAAACCCTGAAGAAATAGCAAAAATATTAAAAGCAGCGTCTGCTGCAAGCACGGTGATAACTAATCATCGTAATACTGTAAACAATTCTGATAAACCAACGGTTTCCCCGGATCCTGTTGTCGTGGTGGAGACTCAACCTCCAGCGCAGAAATCAGCAAAACCCATTGATGAAATGACTTTGGAGGAAAGAATATCTTATATTAAAACTTCATTACAGGGCGGTATTCCACTCCCACCGGTTAACACGCACTGTTTAAAAGAAATAGAGGTGCAAGAGATCGCAAAAAATGCACAATTGAGACATGATATCGTGTTCGACCCTAATTTACAGTTTAGACCAAATTTAGACGGTAATCTAGGCATTAAGAAAAAAGAACTTGCAGATGAGTACTGGAAAGAAGTTGAAAATGAAATCTTTGTCTATCAGAAACGAAGAGATGTGTTTGAGAGTAGGAGAACAAGGTTGGTGCCCATTTTTGACAATTTAAGAAATATAATACTGACCATTGTGGCTCCAAAGGATGCCCAAATGGTTAAAAATATTTTAGAGACCAGCGTGTGTGTACAAGGTATTATCACTGGTTCGTTGGATATTTTACAACTAGCAGACTGGATATGCAAAATATTAAAAGGACATTGTGCTCCAATGAGAGATACTTTTATGAAACAACTTTACTCGAAATTTGAAGAAGCAACGACCGAAGATTCACTGAGTAAGTTCGTTGGAGCAATAAGGTTCTTGTTTCATGTTCTTGAGATTATGAAATTAGATGTTGCGAACCATCAGATAAGGCTTCTCAGACCGGCATTGGTTTCAAATACTGTGGAATTCGAAAGACAGTATTATCAAACAATCTTGTCTACTCCTAATAACAAACTGATTCCATCGTTTGATTGGTTTAAGATTAAATATAACGAGGAGGTAACGAAGGGTAAATTAATAGCTGGCCAAACAACACCTCAACTGTTATATCGTTTCAACATAAGAAATATTTTAGAATTAGCATCATGTCATAATATGGTACAAAGTTATCCTGTGGCACTTGGTTTTGACCGTTCTAGACTAATTTTACTGAGGACAAATATTCGTCAAATTGTTTGTTTAATGATTTGTCGTCTGCTATTTAAACAATTGATATCACAACATAAAAATATTGATACATTGGCAAAGAATTATATCACTACTAAATATACTGATGAAAGATTAAAGTCGGAAATAATGAGTTTAATCACAGAAGAGCATGGGAATTTTAAATGGACTAAAAATACAATGTCTATTGCATTGCAATTATGCAAAGTTATTGAAGAACTATACCTTGATTATTTGAGAGAAACGAAACTTCCACAATATGGGATTCCTCAAACTGTTGCGTTAGATGAGAAGCAAATAGAATTTGCAAAAGCATGGTTGTCTAAACAAATTCAGCCAAACAGCCCAGTTTATATATTATTGGAGACCAGGGTTTTCAAGTCGTTAGAAGATATAATCTATTCCAGATCTGGATGCACTGTTGAAGGTAATGTAAAACAGGATTTTTTGACAGTATACTCAAAAAATGCAAGCTACAAAAACAAGATGACAAGCAGTACTAACGAAAAACCAAAACCAGATAGTGAACTTGAATCAGAGGATACTGATAGTACTAATGATAACAATGTTACGAACGACAATGATAATGACAATGGCAGTAATAGGCAACAACAAATTATACCACTTTCGTTAAGTAATTTTGAAAATACGATTTCACTTTCTTATGTATTATCAAATTTCCACTGGTCAGTGTTTGGATTTCATTACATCAAATGTTTAGGTAATAACATGAAGAAACCATAACCATTATTCCATAGTATAGATTAGATTTCAAATACCCTAATCAAGTCATCTCATCGGATCAGGAACATGAACGATTCCAATTAATATTTTTTTCCCTCATTCACCAAAAAGTCACGAACCCTAATTTAATATAATAATTTCAACCAAAAAATTAAAAAAAAAACTAAGAAGAGAGGGAAAAAAAATCAGATCTAGAAAAGGAAAACCCCTACAATGAAAAATTATCTGTCGATGAGGAAGCTCAAGTAGCAAAATTCCGATGTTGTAACTGACACTAATAAAAGCCAAAAACAAACGATAGATTATCAAGAGACATTTTCATTTAATCAAAGATAAAATTTATTTCACTTCTAATATTAAAAACTTCAAGGAAACAAAAATTAAATATAAAATATTGTAACTAATCAGTTTATCAATTCATACAAATAAATAATTTAATTTCAATTTTACTATTACTATTACTGAAAAATCATCTAAAACTTTGACTATTTCTAATTTCAATGAGCCTACATCCGATTTAAAGTTTGCCTGGTATATAAATATAGATTGTTTGATCTTAATGCAGTCACGAATCAATTAAACAAAAGCAATAAGTAGAAACTGCTAAAAATGAGCATGTGTTGTTTTATATAACCTTGTTGTCCCCTTTCCTTACCTTCAAGTTCATGTTTTTGAACTTACCGCTGGGGCAGGTCATATAATAGTTGTATGTCTATAAGGGCTACTCTTACGTACTATTTTCATCTTCATTTTTTTCTACTTCAAGTCACGTGTATGAAATTGTAAGGTGACTGTATATTACATCACGTGATATTGTTGACTTTATTTCAAAACGGTAAAAAGATTGTATACATATGTTACCCGCATTATTATTATTATTATTGTTATGAGCACGTGATCGATATTTTTTTTCAAATTAAAAATATTTTTGGAAATTTTAGAACGAAATTGGAATTTGGTAAAGGGATTAAGAGAAACAATAGAGGTATAAGAATATAGCAAAAGAATTTGTTGAAATGAGATGGGTATATAAGTTGAAGGAAGTCATATCGCTAGCCATAATTGATCTATCAATTGTGCAGATTAAGCTAAGATGAAAGTATGTGTTTTTGGAGAGAAGAACTAATTGAGAGGATGAAGTATTAAGTCCCTCATAATTTTTTTGCCCTTGGCTGCAAAAAAAATGTTTGATAATTTTTTAACTATTATTGTTATAATCTTAGTTACTAACTTCTATTTATGGGTGGTCATTGAGTCATTGATTGTACCTTTGTACCTATTTTTATGATAGTTCATTGATGAATTAGATGTTGAGAGGGTTAATCAGACCCTGAATTTTGAAACAAGTGATTGTAAAATTACTGGAGGTTGTGATATATTCACTACTAAACCAGTGGCTTCTGATAAGAAACTTTACAAGACTATTGATAACCATTTGAACGTATTGCTACAGGAAAATGAAACCTACAATGCATTTCAACAAAGGCAAAACGACTTAGACAATAACGGATTACTATCACCAGCTACTTCAGAGCAAAGTAGAGATTGTAATTCTTTCTGGGAACAAAAAAGAAGAATGTCTGTTAGTGATAATGATAACCAACAAAATATCGGAGGCACTCCCATTTCTATTAGAACTAGTAAACTAAACGACCAGAATTTAAAAGATTTAGTAACGAATTCAGACAACGAATATTTAAGTTCTTCATCCATAGAATCCTCTTCCAATCATGGAGAAAAATCAAGAAGGTCGTCAAGTGTAGCGGTGAATGGGTCAAGTTCAAATAATAAGTTTAAAGTTTCTAAAATCTCTAAAAATAGAAGAAGGTCGTCCGCAAACCATGATCCTAGCAATATAAATATTGGTCCATTTGGTCCAATTAACGAAACAGCTAGTAGGAGGATATTTGCATATTTGATTGCAATATTGAATGCTTCGTATCCAGATCACGACTTTTCTTCTTTAGAACCGACAGATTTTGTCAAAAGTTCACTGAAAGAACTAATATCAAAGTTCGAAAATTCCTTATATTCACTGGGAAAACAGCCAGAAGAATGGATGTGGGAAATAATTAATTCACATATGGATTTGTCAGATTGTGTGATATACAGGTATGATCCTAACAAGTCATTTTTGGACGATGAGCCTGGTCATTTATGGAGCTTAAATTGGTTCATCTTCAATAAAAAAAGAAAAAGAGTAGCATATCTCTACTTATATGCTTTAAGAATACAAGCTCCAATGACTGATATTAAAGAAACTCTACCGAGATGCGGGAGGAAGTTGACTATTGATCATGATTCAAATCAATTTGAAGGTGAGTATGACTTGGTATATGATGACAACGCTATTGAGGATGACTCAGAAGCCGAAGCTACATGAGAGCATATCAAATACATCTTACGGTTTTGACTTTACCTTGTTTAAAGACCGAAGCTCGGATATCTTATAAAGATTGATTTTAATAGATCAGATTATTGTAATCGGCTACTTTTTTGCCTTTGATTAATTTATGTTTTACATTCCCTATGCATTAATTCACTCATTAATATATTACTGTTCTGGATAAACTCAAGTTGTACATTTTTATTACCTAATAATTGTAGAATGTTATTCTATTATTATATTCTATTGTATCAACACCTATATTGGTCTGTCTTACGGCTTTCCCTGCTGACTTGATATTTTATATAGTTTTCTTTCGTTATATATTCTCACTAGTGCTGCCTTCCTCATAAATATTTTTAATAACTTAATTTAATTGTAATATTAATAAAGATTCATATATTATTTATTTATGTATTGATTCCGAGTTTTGGATTTTGTTTTATTTTTTGAATATTTTTGAAGACAAAACATAAAAAAACAAAAAAATTAATATATTTCATTTATATAAAGTTCTTATAGGACATAGACTATTTTGTTGGTAAATTTCCCAAGATAACTGTTTTTATGAATGTATACTCCTCAATACCATGTAAAGAACCCTCTCTACCAAAACCAGATTCGTCGACACCACCAAAAGGAATAGCGGCATCCGAAAACAAACCGGTATTACAAGATACCATACCATTTTCTAAAGCTTCAGATACAGCCATCAGATTGTTTATATTTTTAGAAAATACATAAGATGCTAATCCAAAGACAGTATCATTCGCATACCCAACGACCTCATCTAAGGTATCAAACGAGAATATTGGACATAATGGTCCAAAAATTTCTTCTTTTGAAACCCTAGCATTTTGAGGGACATGAGATAAAATACAAGGTGCATAGAACGTAGGACCAAGTTTAGTAATTGGACCACCTTTTACTACTACTTTGGCTCCCTTAGCAATCGCATCCTTTGTATATGTTTCAACCTTTGTAACTGCGTCAGCGTTGATTAGGCAGCCATGGGTAGATGATTTATCCAAACCTGGACCGATTACAAAATTCTCAACCTTCGAGGCTAACATTTCTGCAAATTTATCGATAATACTTGAGTGAACGTACAATCTATTGGCACAAACACAAGTTTGACCTAAGCCTCTAAATTTAGAAGCAACTGCCTGTTCGACAGCCAATTCTAAATCAGCGTCTTCGAAAACAATAAATGGAGCATTTCCACCTAGTTCTAAGGATAATTTCTTCAAAGTCGAGGATGATTGTTTCATTAATAGTTTACCAACTCTTGTGGAACCAGTAAAGGAAACTTTTTTGACTTTTCTAGATTCACATAATCTTGCTCCAAACTCAGGAGTATTTTTGCTTGATAAAACTACATTGAAAACTCCAGGAGGGAAACCTGATTCCTCTATAAGCTGGGCTAAGGCCAATGCAGATAATGGAGTTTGAGAATCTGGCTTTACGACAACTGTACAACCAGCAGCAAGTGCAGGGGCTACTTTTCTTGTAATCATTGCACTTGGAAAATTCCATGGACAAATTAACCCGCATACACCAATTGGCTGTCTCATTGTAAATGCTTTATTTGAAGGATTTGAAGGTTGTATAGTGGTACCATACATCCTTGGGGCCTCTTCAGCAAACCATTCAAAATAAGAAGCTGCATATTTTATTTCACCTAAAGCTTCACTGTAAGCCTTACCATTTTCCCACGATATAATATTAGCTAAATCATCAGCGTTGTTGTTCATTGCATTGAACATGTTCCTTAACCATGTCGCTCTCTGTCTTGGAGTTGTATATTTATAAGTCTTAAAAGTTTCATACGCTACATCAATAGCGTCATCTAATTCCGATATGGATTGCTCTGGTAATTCTTCAATTACCTCTCCAGAAGCAGGATCATTGAGTTTAAAAGTATTAGAACTGCTATTCAACCATTTACCATTGACATAAGCACTGGACCTTAAAAGCTTACTATTTTTCAAAATAGGTCTTGGAAACTTAACTGTTGTCATTATTATTATATAGTACCGACAACCATTCCCCTACTTTCTTTTTTATTCCAGTATTGATTAAAAGATTATTAGAAATTGTATAAAACCATCCACCAACTGATATTGCTCAAGTTCAATAAAATTTAAATTCGAAATTTTTTTTAAAATGTTACTAATGTACTTAATTAGGTATTTAGAGAATTAAGGTCAAAATTAAACCTTAAGTTTCACTTTTTCTCCTATAGGTTGGAAATTTCCGACTAAATCGAACTTGATATAGGAAGAGTATCTAACATACAAAAAGCAAAGAAATTTAATAGGACCTTTTCAGCTTAGGGAACCAATTTAATCTAACTTCATTTAAAAGTGAAGGAAAAGTACTGCAAATTGATTAATTATTGATAAGATTAATAAATTGTATAGAATATCGATTGATTAATGAATTATTGTATTATGCTATATTATGTATAAGTCTATTTATTATCAAATGAATGTAAAATCTTGAAATTATATTGTAAAAGAACATAGTTCAACTCAACAACAAAGGCAACGGGCACTATCCGATCATGTCTGATTCTAGTTGAATTAAGTGCTCTTAAATGAATTGAAAGTTTTGAACAGAAAAAAAAACACTTTAAGTATTATACGTTATAATATATTGTTGCAAATGTACCTTCAGGATATTAAAAAATTGGTGACATGTAGTCGGTTTCCAATTATCTCTTCTTTTCAATTAATTGCAAATGCTCTAACTTTTTGAGGATTTATTAACTTGGTCGTCTTCATGGTATACTGTTGTTTCAATAGTTGATGATGATTCAGCATTTTCTGAGTTTGTATTATTGACATTACCTGTTGTATTTGGAGTGTTAGCGTTCGTTGAAGTATTATTAGTATGATTATTGTTCAAATAAGTGTATCTTCTAAAATCCAAATCCATATCCTGATCAGGCATAAAATTCGAAGGTTGTCTAGTCAATGCTCTTCCAGGTCTTTCTAGTCCTTGAGAGTTTTCATCTGAATCAACCTCAAAAGTTAAAGTCGGTGGTGGCAAATATTCTGCTTTGTCATTTGCATGGAACTCACCTCTTTCATCATAATAACCCAAATCATCGGCATTACTAGTTTCTGTATATTTTGGTACATAATCTTCAACAGTTCCCGATGTTGTTGCATTATAATCTCTTTCAGATTGTCTATATGAGGGCGGTGTTAACCACGCAGTGCCTCTAATAGGAGCCTGACCCATCATCCTTCTTCTTCTATTAACTCTTCCTGTTAAAAATAATGAAGCTACTAAAAACACAAGAAATATTACAAATAAAATCCATCTTCCCCAAACCCAAGAGGAAGACCCCCAATAATCATCATCACTATTTACAAGGATATCTCTAGCGTGAAGAACACTTTCCAATAAATCAACCCTATCGTCCAATGTATTGCTTCTTAAAACGATCATGCTTGTTTCTTCCTAGATTACTTCTTAACTTTTAAAACGTCTTAACAATATCGAAATCACTATCAGTTTATTACCAAAATAGATCAATGCCTCTTTATCTCTCTTGTATGTCACCTAAACTAAAATATAGTATGCTAAATCTAAAGCAATATTACTTTAATATAAAGATCAAAAATTCCCTTAAACGAATGTGAAGTCAAACACAGTTGCAATCCTCTATATATATGAAAATATCTCTCTCTCAATATAAATATATATATATATATATATAGGAACCCTAGCAGACTTTTAGCTCTATCAAAGTAAAACAGAATAAACTCCCTCTCCAAATGTAACCTTAATACCTCTTTTTGTTACTTCTTAACTCATCAACTTATTGCAAATGCTCTCTTCATAAACAAATCCATCACCCTCTTATTCTGTCTTTTATTTCACCTGTTGTTGTTGTGTTGTTATTCTTGTTGTTGCTATTGGTTTCATCAAAATAATTTCATCGAAAAATTTCAGCAAGAAAAAAGTTGAAGCTTTCGAAGATGAGATGAGATGAGATGAGGTGGTAATAATAATAATAATAGAAAAAGGTTCATACAATTAATTGGGTTATTGAATAGCAAATGTATTATTTGCTATTATCAAAGTGTCTTGTAACGATTGATTTGTTTCTAATTCTTTTTTAATGTATTGCTGTATGACTTGACCTTAAACGTTTATTGATATTTCATAATTGTACCAAGAAAAGCAGAGAATTAATTTGACAAGGGAAGCAAGTTTCAATCAATGTTGGCGGATATTACGAAGGTCTTTGTATCAGTAAGATTTGTACAGTATCTGTTGATCTATTTATCTCCAAATACTCAGTTTGATACTTCCACTGAATTGTTATTGAAAGAACTAGGGGTTTCTAATGATTCTCTCAATGAATTTTGGAATATCAATCTTTGGAATAAATTATTATCTTGGGACTCTGTATTTTTTTTGAAAAGAATTGTATCTCAACAAGGTACTACAATTCAATATGAACACGAACGTGCATTCTCTATAATCTGGTGTGAATTGATACGCTATTTCACTTCTTATTCGATTGATCTGTACTATTCCCTTAAAATTGCTGTTGTTATCGAAAATTTATTGTTTTATATCTCAACAATTGTTCTATATTATTTAACAGTAATCACTTTCAATAACAACAATGTGTCGTCAAATAATTTATCACACAAGATAGCAAGGAAAACTTCACTTTTATTCATTATAAGTGGCTTCTCCGGTTATGTGACAGGGATCTATTCTGAACCACTGTCATTCTGTTTAACGTTTATTGGTATGTTTGCACGTCAGTATAGTATCAGTATAATCACTTCAAATGATATGGACATCAATTGGTGCAAATGGCCACTATATTCCATAGTTTCTACAATGTGTTTCACTTTGGCCACTGTCAATAGATCCAATTGCATATTATTAGGTCTTTTTTATATATTTGATCTAATAAAATTGGTGTCGGTTAAAAAATATCAAAGGGCAATTTTTTTCCCATTATTGTCAGGTTTAATAATGCTAACCCATCTTTTATATTATTATTATTATATTCCTTTTAATACATACTGTCCTGAAAGAGGTGAATGGTGCCAAACTCAAATAATTAAATCACTACCGTTTACAAAAATATCATTTTACAATTTTATACAATTACATTATTGGAATGTCGGATTTTTAAAATATTGGACATTGAACAATATACCAAATTTTCTATTTGCAATTCCTAATATAATTGTATTAAGTTATAGTACAATTTATTTCACAAAAATTTATCCATTAGTGAATTTAACACCATTAGTTTGGATTACTAGAACGTTAGTAATATTATTATTGTTCTTTGCCCACACACAAATTATCAATAGGGTTTCATCATTCATACCACTACATCTATGGTATTTAGCAGATCGATTAGTCAAAAACACAATAATTAAGAAAGATGATAATGAAGAATTAAAAGGTGATGATAAAATTGTTAAAATATATATATATTGGTTGATAATATGGATACCTTTACAAACTATACTGTTTGCATGTTTTTTACCACCAGCATAAATTATATATATACATGTAAGGATATAGGAAATAAATGACACCGACAAGATCTCTCAATTTACAAGATTTATGGCATTTCAGTTATTCTTCTTTCATTTATAAATTAACAAAAAGATCAAAAATAAAAATATACACGTTATATATAATAAACTAAATAATTTAATTCTTATTATTTTTATTCTTATTATTTTTTTTATTCCTTATTAGTATTATTTTTTATAATTATATATAAAACTATTATTTTTTATTTTGTTCTTTTGCCTTTTCGAATTCTTCTTTAAATTTATCAGCATTTTCTTTGTTACCAAATCTAATTGCAAAAGTGAAAGCTTCTGGTCCACCTTCAGCTACATCGGCAGTACAAGCATAAACCCAAGATCTGTCTGAACCGACATTTGGTTTTAATTCATAATCTGGAGAAATGATATGATTAGCACAAACTTTCAAAGTTTTATCTCTTCTCATTAATAATCTAACCTTTTCAGTTGATTTATTTTTCAAAAACTTACAATCACCAGTACCTCTTTCTTTCCATTCTTTGTTTTCTGGATCAAATCTAAATAATTTTGCTCTAACTTTGTATAAGACTTCTTCATCTTCTTCCATAGATTTTATGTCAACTTTTTCTAGATGAACAATTGGTTCGAAATGAACATCTGGAGATTCTGGAGCGTCTTCATCTTTCTTGTTATCAGCATTACTCTTTTCTTCATCATCCTTATCTTGGTCTTTCTTTTCGTTAGATTCTTGTTTTTTACCACCAAACATGGAGAAAACAGCTGAAGTTGGTGGTTTTGAAGCAGAAGATTCTTCTTTTTTATTCAATTCAACAGGTTTAACTTCAGACATTGTTATTTACTTTACCTAGTGTATGTGGATGGGGCGTAGTTATATTTATATTTATATTTATATATATATATCTCTTCTGGATGGTACTTATGTAATTGAATAAATAAGTTTCCTAAAAGATTATGGAAATGATTTAATAAACTATGACAATAGTAGAAGTAAGTGATAACTTGATGAACAAATTAGAGATAGAGAGGGAGATAGAAGCACATAGAACAACTTAACTTTTAAAAAGTAATCCAAACTTCAATTTAATTTTTTTATTTATCGATGGTGGTGAGTGGTGATGTTATTTAATTTTCTTTAATTTTTTTTCCCTCCTCTAGCTTTTTGGTTGTAGCTTCTACCTTTGGGCTGTGGCAACTTTGGTTAGATCATTTTTCTCATCACCTACAAGAACAACCATTGCTTCGTCAAACATTACAATCGAATATAGTATTCGTGTGATGTGATGGTCACGTTCTATATTTCTATATTTCCATCTATCTGACATATATGTATGTACATCTATATATATATATATATATATGTATATGTATATGTATATGTATATGTATAGGAGACTTACAATTTAAACTAACGACAAAATGTTTTCGCTCTCACCATCTCTGAGAGACCATATCGCAAGAAACAAAGCTTGCCTCTCTACATGTCAAATCTCCCAATCATATCTTACTCATATTCTTGATATCATATTATATAACAATAATAGCAATAAAGAACATGGTAGAAAATTACAGAAAAATCGTGATTAATAAATAAATGAATGAATAAGTAATTTCCAATTTGGTTCGGATTAGTTTCTGGTCTCCTGTTAGTTTTAGCTTGAAACTTCAGTTTGAGTTTGAGTTTGAGTTTTGTTATATTTTTTTTTCACTGAAAAGAGTTGATAAGACTCATCATAGATACAAATACAAATTCAAACGCTTACCATTCAATTTATTTTGGATTTGTTTCTTATTATAGGTACACCGATGATGAATTGCTAGGATTGATTCCATACCGTCTAGTAGGAGGTTGTCTGAATTTTTTTGAGGTAAGGGTATGCCCAATTTACTTATTGTATTCTATTCTATTTTATTCTATTATGTCGTCATCAGCATTTGCGTCTGTTGATTGATCAGCTCTATAAATATTAAGGGTGTCACACAAAACCAGTCCGACAGACACACGAATGAATGTGAATGTACTTCTCTCTGTAATTGCGCCTGTGGAAAAACTATGGATTTTAAAATTTAACTTTTAAAATTCTTTCTGTCTCTGGCTCCTTCTTTCTCCAGCCAGAGCTGTCTTGAACTGTTAAGTCGACGTGACTACCAAAAATGATGTTGATTCGATCTTTATTTCCTTTTTTCTTTCTTTCTCTCTTTCTTTCTGTTCTACTCTGTTCTCTTTCCTATTTTCTTCTGGTTTCTCTGATTCTCTTGTAAGCCAAACCAACTCGAATCGACACCATACTTACTCCTCTGGCTGATACCCCTCCGCAACTTCTTTCTCTCTTGCTCCTACGATTCCGACCTCCCATTCCCATCCACTTACCCACTTCTTGGCTCAATATTTTTTCGAATCCAGCCCTTCCAAGCTCCACTGATCAAAATTTGCCCAGACTGGACTGGAAAAGCCAAATTTAGGTCACTCTCCTACCACGCAAATGGCCCAAACTAGTGCACTACTCCATTCAGAAATAAGTGACAAGAAATACGAAATACTAAATACAAAACAAGAAGTATTAGGTAATGAATACAGCACAGCACAGCACAGCACAGCACAGCACAGCACAGCACGACAGAACATATACGTGATATGATGTAATTGGTACTTTCTCATCTCAGTCCATCATGAACTCTTGTCGTCTCCCTCTCTCTGCCTTATACGTCTACGTAAACTCATGCCTTATATATATATATATATATATAGTTTCGTCCCTTTTTTTTCTTTTCCATTCAAACTTCATTATTCAGCGTAATCGAATTTCGTCTTTGTATTGTCTCTAGCTGTATACCCTACCCTATATCATCAATGTTCTTATATATGCACAACAATACATAACAATACAATGATATCCAATATATTAAAAATACCCGTACCATCCCAGGTTATTTCTTACCATGTTTCTCACCAGACAAGAAAGTAAGATTACTGTAATCAACCCTAGTTCACCTCGATTAGGTTCACTTTGGTTGAATTAAAGTTAAGACTAAGTACATTTCTGTTTGGTATACTAATCCCTCTTGCACAAGAAAAGACCCCTTCGACGAACAATAAAAAACCATCAAGCTCTCTTATATTATCATCCTTCTCTTCTCCTTGCCCATTCATTTCATTCACACATTTATTCATTCATTCATTCATTCATTCATTCATTCATATGCAATATTATACAAGACGTATATAGCAAAAGAAATGAAAATGCATTAATTCATCCCCGTTTTATTACTTTTGGTTTCTAATTAATTTTTCTTTATCTTCCTTTCTTGTAATTTAACTTCATGTATCCTTATATATATATATATATATCCTCACGCACGCATACACAAGTATGTATAAATATAATTATTTCTATATTTAAGTACAAACTTACATCCCAAAAACGTAATCCAAATTAAATTAAATTACAAACTATAAATCAAGCTTCATTGAAGAGAATAATCATCACTCTTAAGATAAAAGAATATAAAACACCTAATTATATTAAAAATTATAATAACATTTGTTCAGATTATTTCCCTCTCTATACCTCATCTGTATGGATAACACTTTTATTATATTCCATAAAGTTGAAGTCGAAACTTTTTTTTGAACCCTTTTTTCTTTAAATTCATAAACACAAGCTTCATAATATATATTCTCATTTCAAGATTGTATCCATTTTCTAGGAACTTTTATGCAAGATTATTCTATTCATTTGTTTTATTTTGCTTTTATTCACTAAAATTAGTTTCCCATTTTAAATCATTTTCTTTAATAAAATATAGCATATTATCATACAGTAAAATATAACTGACATATAACCATGGTCGAACCGATGTTGTCTACTACTGCTACAATGATTAACGGTAAGAAGAAAAATAAGAATAATACTCCAGAAACTTTTTTTAACAAAGATTATAACAATAATGATGAAAATGCAACTGTCACCGACTCATCTTCTTCCTCTTCAGATGAGGATGACAGTGATGAGGGCCCATTAGTTATGCATTCTAGCGACAGCTCTTCTATCGCTGGCATTGGACCAGTCAGTACCAGCAGTCCCTTGGGATCTGGTCCAACTGATAATACCGGCAGCACCAACCTTCAGCCAACTCATAGAAAGGGACTTCCCCGTCACCATAGAAGAAGATTGTCTTCCATGAATGAATTTCTAGACCCTTTCTCGAACGCTGAAATCTATTATGGTCCAGTGGTAAACCCTAAGAAAGCACCTAATAGCAATGACACTGCTACCGCCAGTATTAACAGCACAAAAAATTTGAATAGGACAAGAACAATGAGTGTCCTAGATCGTGTTTCAGATTTCAAAAGAGGTTTAAACCCTTCTGCTTCAAATAGGAATATGGCTGAAAAAAATCACATCTTGCATAGAAGAAGCTCAGAAGATGATATTTTTGTAAGTAGTCAAGGCAATCGTCGTTTCTTCATTGAAAACGTGGATAAAACTTTGGCAGATTTACTAGCAAGTGAAGATACAGATAGTAACTATCAAATCACAATAGAAGACACAGGTCCAAAAGTAATTAAAATAGGTACCGCAAACTCTTTTGGTTATCAAAAGATCAATGTAAGAGGAACATACATGCTTTCAAACTTATTACAAGAATTAACAATTGCAAAAAGCTTTGGAAGGCACCAGATATATTTAGATGAGGCTCGTATCAACGAAAACCCGGTAAACAGATTGTCAAGATTGATTTCAAATCAGTTTTGGAGCAATTTAACAAGAAAAGTTACTTTGACGACAATTGGAGCTATTGCAAAAGATACTAAAATAAAAACACCTGGTGCCAAAAACCCAAGAATATTTATACCTTACAATTGTGAAGACCAGTATGAATTCTTCATCCAAGCTTCTCAAATGGATCCTTCTCTGAAGTTGGAAGTTGAATATTTACCAAGAGAAATTACTCCAGAATACGTCAAATCATTAAATGAAACACCGGGCTTATTGGCAACTGCAATGCAAACATTATTGGATCCTTCAACTGGTGAAAAAACTCTAACTGGATATCCTTATGCAGTTCCAGGTGGTAGATTTAATGAGCTATACGGTTGGGATTCATATTTAATGGCATTGGGATTGCTTGAAACTAGCAAAGTCGATGTTGCTAAAGGAATGGTAGAACACTTTATATTCGAAATTGACCACTACGGAAAAATTCTTAATGCAAATAGAAGCTATTATCTTTGTAGGTCACAACCACCATTCCTCACAGATATGGCCTTGATAGTATTCAAGAAAATTGGTGGCGATTCTAATGTACGTGCAATCCAATTCTTAAAAAGAGCATTTAAGGCTGCAATAAAAGAATATAAAAATGTCTGGACTTCCAACCCTAGACTTGATCCGGAGACTGGGTTATCATGTTATCATCCAGACGGTAAAGGTATCCCTCCAGAGACTGAACCTTCTCATTTTGATACAATTTTAACCCCTTTTGCTAAAAAATACAATGTAACATTGGAAGAATTTAGAAAACTGTACAATGATGAGAAAGTTAGCGAACCAGAACTCGATGAATTCTTCTTGCATGATAGAGGCGTAAGAGAATCAGGTCATGACACTACATACCGTTTTGAGGGTGTTTGTGCCTATCTAGCAACGATAGACTTAAATTCTTTGCTGTACAAATATGAAAAGGATATTGCATATGTTATTAAAAACTATTTTGATGATTCATTCAAAGATGAGAATGATGGGACTACAACAACCTCAGAACATTGGTTACAATTAGCAGAGATACGTAGAAATAGAATAACAAAATATTTGTGGGATGAAGAGAAAGGATTCTTTTTTGATTATAATGTCAAATTAAAGTGCCGAACTTCTTATGAATCAGCAACCACATTTTGGGCACTTTGGGCCGGTCTTGCAACCGCTGAACAGGCTCAGGTAATGGTTGAAAAATCGTTGCCTAAATTGGAAGTTTTGGGTGGTCTTGTTGCATGTTCTGAAGGATCCCGTGGTCCATTATCAGTAAATAGACCTTCTAGACAATGGGACTATCCTTATGGATGGGCTCCTCACCAAATATTTGCATGGCAAGGTCTCTCTGATTATGGATATGAGGGGATTGCTAGACGTATAGCCTATAGATGGCTATATATGATGACTAAAGCATTTGTTGATTACAATGGTATTGTAGTAGAAAAATATGATGTGACCAGAGGTACTGATCCACATAGGGTTGACGCTGAATATGGTAACCAGGGTGCTGATTTTAAGGGTGTAGCCACCGAAGGATTTGGATGGGTTAACTCTAGTTATATTTTAGGCTTGAAGTACATGAATAGTCATGCCAGAAGGGCCCTTGGGGCTTGCATTCCTCCAATGCCGTTTTTCAATCGCCTAAAAGAAGAAGAGAAAAAGATATATAGCTTATAATCTAATTTCAATCACTCAAAATATTTTTTTTACAAACACACCAATATATATACTGTTATCTAAACATTGGTTAAACTATAACCCCAATTGAGGAATCGCAAAGATTACTAGCTGTAAGTGATAGTACATTATAATAATTAAAATTTAAAAATCTTGAATTAATTTAATTCTGTATAATAATGAACATAATATTAAGAAGACTACGAAATAATCATCTCGAACAAACCAATTACCAAAATACATCATTTACTTTTGTCTGCGCGATCGTTCCTATTCAGAAAACACAAATAACTTTTTTCCTTCAAACGAACACTTATCAAGGTCCTAAACATAGTTTCCTTGTTCGGAACTGTTGCCGGAGGCGAGGATTGTGAATTATGAAAAATCAGAAGTTTATTACATTATTAAAAGATTAAATAAAGTATAAATTAGTTTGTATTTATATCACATGATAGAGTAAATATTCACATATCGCTTGGGAATTCTGCGTAGTCTTAAAAAGCATAATTAATATTTTGGTGTTGCCTATCATTGTTTAAAAGTCGGTACTTTTGTTTCACGTAATTTTTGTTAGTCAGCTATTCTACAATTTAATTTGGTTTGTGACTTAATAATTCCTTGTTCTATTCTTGATGCAAGCAATTATCATAATCATTCGCAAAATCGAATGCATTTGTAAACTGTAATGAAATCCATACGTATAATTTTAGGATCTGATTAGTATACCTTGTTAATTATTAATTGAAATATCCTATTATTACATCTTATTATTTTATATTGTCAGTTCTTTAACTTGGAATACTCGGCTTATTTTTAAGCGATTCTTGATTTAAAAGTTTAAATGGTTTCTTTTCAACTGACTGACTCTATCTAAGCAAAAATTAAAAGTCATTTAGATGCCTAAAGGTTGTCTTAATTTTCAACATATAATATTCCATTTTATTAAAGTACTCTAGATTTATTGATGTACTGTGTGGCTGATTTATGTGTTGTACCAGTTGGAACAAATTCTGTAAGTGGGTCTGACTTTGTTGCAATTCTCCAGAAGAAAATACACTCAAGTGGTTTGAAAAGTACCTTACATAGTGCAGGTACCACAATTGAAGGTAATTGGGATGATGTCGTTACATTAGTTGGTGAATTACATGAATTTGGTCATGAAAATGGTTTTGTGAGAATACATTCGCATCTTAGATTATCAACCAGAACAGACAAAGAACCCCATATAGGGGATAAGGATTAATCTGAAGGTAATATATACCCCATTTGGCGGACGACCTTTTTATCCTCCATATATCTAAAGAAGACATTGAATATTTATTTACTGGATTAATAATGTTTCATAATTGTATATACAATAATAAATATGGGTCAAAATTTAATTTTTAAAGATGTCCCATCTATGTGGAATCTTGACTCAATTTCAATTTAAAATCAAATAATGAAAAGGGATATATAATGCAAATACAAGAGGAATTGATAGTGAATTTAACTAACTTTTATGAGAATTAGTGAATAAGTCAACTGCAATGTTAATAATTGATACAAGAACTTCTACCCCGACCAGTATAATGACAATAAATTCTAAATATTCTTCATGAGAATGGCCTAATTGTTCCTTCAACATTTGTAATAAATCGGATATGACTTCTAAGCGTTGATTAAGAAGAGCGACACGTTGATTAATTTCTAAATAACCTCTCATCGCTTGATAAATCGGTTCAAGCTGAGGTTCTGACCACATGATTTCTGGAGAATCAAGAACTGAACCATGAAGGTTTATATTTATTCTCAAAATAAAAAGTTCACCTATACTTTTCATGATATCCTCTTTACTCATTGAAACTTTACCGCTAGATGCAATTTCTTGGGGTATATCTTGTGTATCTTCAATTGTATTATCAACTAATTCTTCAAATAATGAAATTTTTACACTTTGCGCCAAACCATGGGAAATAGATAGTTTGATCATATAATTCGATGCATCTCTTAATGTAATGAAGTCGTTATAAATTCTCGGCTGGTAACTTTCAGTAATGTAATAATTAAATTCTTCAACTTGAACATCTTCCTCTGCTAACTTCTCCTTTTCGAATTTCTCTATATCATTCAGAAATGCTTTTTCCTCTCGTTCAGTAAAGCCCCACATAACTACTACACCATATTCGAATATGAAGACATCAGGTTGCTTATCACTAACATTAATTTCACCTCCTTCATCATCCAGTCTGATTAAATCTTCGTGTTCAAATCTTTTATCACCCCTCCAATCCGTATACATAAATGGTGTATATAAACATTCGTCAAATAGTTTAGGATGGGTATGGTGTGCTTTTTTAGAATCCTTTAACCATTTTATTAGGCCTCTCATGTTATAACTGCTTGCAGTACAGTAAGCTGTCGTCCTGGGTAGCAAATGTCTGTGAGCTTTACCCAATTTTTCAGCATCTCTTCTTGCGTTCTTATCTGTAATTCTGTTGACTTGGGTGTATACATCTTGGTCTCTTAAGGCAATTAAATTTTCTGGATCTATTTTAAATGGTTCTTCAGGCAATAATTTCAACTTCTGGGCAGTACGTGAAGTTCTTTGAGCACCTGTTTTTGGCTGCTTGCTCAAAGGTTGATTAAGTATTCTACCTGGAATATTGCCATCCGTGTCAATATTTTTTATTTTACCTTTATGTAGTGGTATACTGTCATTAACTGTTGGGTTTCCGGGTATACTAGAAGAATTAGGTCTTGGAATATATTTATCTTGTTTTGGGATCACGCCGTCCCCTTCAATCCTTTCTTCTAGTAATGGTTGCAGTTCTCCGTCTCTTGGATTTCCACTCATTTGATATTGGATATATGTACCTGTGGGCCTGTTATGTTTTCCCTTTTGCTCCTAAATTTATAGAAAGCAATACTTTACGTAATCTATCTCCAATAATAAAAACGAATAAATTCGAACAAATTTTATCGAACTAATAGCAGCTCTACTCAGCTTTATGTCTTTTTGAATTCGTATCTTAATTATTAATTCAAATTTTAAGGTAGTACTAAAAAACAATTACCATAAATACCTGCAATATTAAGTAAAAAAAAAAAAGATTCACTTATGTTACAGAACTAATCATCGACTAACTGAATATACCTTCAGCTTTCCCTAATGTCTGTATATCTCCATTTATTTATACTTTTTAATTACCAATAAATTCTCTTGATTCATCAAAAGTTAATCAATTCTTTATATACTGACCCATATTAATATTACATTTAAAGCTTTACTACTATTTTTTTTTCTTTTTTTTCCCTTCCCTCTGTTTGCTTTTACCCTTTCATTAAATTTATTTATTTTGAATTTAAGTTTCAATAAAAAGTGAAAAATTTATTATTATAACACTAAGTTACATTAGATTGCACTAATAAATATGAGCAATAAGGTATAAATTGGTAGGTTAGGCTTGTGATTTGGGGTTTTATAAGTTTATCAAGTTTGTCTTAAGTCATATATAAGATATTTACATGCAAAGTACTGTATAAATTGGTTAACTCAGAGTAAGCACTAAGACAGAATAAAAGGACAAGCATACAAGTATATTGGAATATATTACAAACTAACATAAGCATGTCTGACAATGATTTGAAACGTAATGTTGAAGAATTGAAGGAAGAGAATGAAGTATTAGCCTTAGGTATCCAAAGGACAAGATTATCTATAAAAAGATTAAAGTTAGAATACAGTGTACTTTTAGAGAGGCTAGAGGCAAGATTAGAGATAGATCCTGAATTGAGTTATGAAAACCCTTTACCCACATTGGAGTCATTTAAGAAGGAATTGTTAACAAAACCATTAAAAAAGACAAAAAGTAAGTCTCAAAAGGCAAAAGATAGAGATCCAAATTTACCTAAGAGACCAACCAATGCCTATTTGTTATTCTGTGAAGTAAATAAAGAAAAGATTAGGCAATCGGGTACACAAGATGTGACAAAGGCATTGGCTGAAGCTTGGAAGAATTTAAGTGAAGAGGATAGAAAACCTTATTACAAATTATATAGTGACGATAGGGAAAGGTATAAAAGAGAAATGGAAATATATACAATGAACAATGAAAATAAAAAAGAAGCAGAAATTAAAAGCGAGGATAAGACAGAAGATATTAAATCAGAAAATCCAAGCACAAAAGAAGCTAGTAAAGAAGATATAGATATAGACATTGATGACGATGAAGATGATGATGACGAAGACGATGAAGAGGACGAAGACGAAGAGGCAGAAGAGGATGACGAAGATGAGGCAGAAGAGGATGAGGAGGAAGAAGAAGAGGAAGAAGACCAGGATGAGGACCAGGAAAATGGTACCCAAGTTGAAGAAGATAGTAATGCTGCTGTAGTTGCCGAAGATGATGATGACAACAATGACAATGACAATGATGACGACAACGACAACGACAACGATGGAATTTCTGACGAAATTTCTGATGTCCCAGCGAGTGATATATAAAATAATTATTAGTGGAAATGGTATCGGTAATTTATATAAACAATCATTAGATAATGTTATATTAGATAAATCATGTATTATATGTATTTTTATTAATGCAAAAGATTCTTTAGTATCTATAAATTTTCTATAAATTACTCAGGACATCTGGTGAAAACTCGTAAATTCTTAAAGTTGAACCATTACTGAGTATCAGGTCCTTCTTGTCTTATTTTTTCTTTGATAAAACCCACTGTCATCCTTCTCATGCTTTCTCTTTTCCCTAGATCTAGCATGCTTCTTCAACTTCCTCTGTGCGGCAATATCTGGAGCAGTCACAGCTAAAATCGATCTTTTTGTTCTTCTCTCTCTTCTTCTCTTCATTACAGTTTGTTTGACAGAGGTATACGATTTGGTGAAGTCAGACACAGTCATTTTGACCTCTAACATTTTTAAACATTCTTGAGCAAGGTCTACTAGTTCCTTATCCTGATCCTTCAACCTATTATTTTGATCAATTTCTGTATAAATGAATAGTGGCAACATGATTTTTTCCGATTCATCTAATAGTTGAGTTTCATTCATTAGCTGCACCATCATTGCCAACAATTGTATAGAAGACTTCTTGGACATAAATGAATCATTTGGATTCTCTTCACTTCTAATAATTGCTGATGCTCTAGATACCATGTAATCTAATGCACTGGAATAAGAAGGTGTCTTCTCTTCAGTATCACCATCTTTTGAAATGAATTTAGTGTTATGGTCTTTCCATCTAATTACAATTTTAACTAGCGTCTTGATAGCAACTGTAGATAAATTTTCAGATATTGATGGAGCTGATAGTTGGTGCATGATTCTTGATACAATTGTTTGAATTTCAAAATCAGTAAACTTAACTTCAAACTTTTCTAAATTGTTAACAACTTGATTCACCAAACGACTGGCAGACAAACGAACCCAGGTATGCGGATATAATAAACATCCAATGATATTATCCCAAGTTCCTTTAAAGTCGGAGCCGTATACACTCTCTGACTTTTCAGAAATGATTGTTAATACAGATAATGCAGAATATACAGTATCCCATTCAATGGAAGAGCCAACACCAGTTTGAGATATTATGGTTTTGACTCTAGTAACTGCCAATTCATCCAACACTAGATTGCTTCCTAGACCAACACTACTTGCATAGATCTTATAGATACGCAAACTTAGATTTAGGAAAGAAGGGTTGTCAGACTGCTTAAACCATGAGATTATGTACTTTTCAATTGTATCCAAACTTGAAGCGTTGACTTTTGCAACAAG